TAATTGGAAGTCCACTTTTATTTCCTTTTGCTGATTACACAATAGTAAACTTGGGGGGGGGTGTACACACAAATTGTCTACAATTAAGTGCAGGGACTTGGGGACTTAGCTCAGTGATACAGCACAAGGCCGAGGCGCTTGGGTCAGTCTCCAGCACCGGAAGAAATTTAAAAAATGAAACTTTGTGACCTATCCTTTCAATCTTTCAGGACATTTATATGCATTTGCGTATTGTGTACGTGGTTTGGGCTCATAGTTTAAATAGTAATGTGCAATACGTAAGCGTGCCACCAGGTGGGGCGAGAGAGCTGCTTTCTGGGCTGCATAGGCTGCTGTCCAGAGCACCTTGTGGTCAACACCAGATGTCTGCTGCGGCGGACGCTCAGAGAGGGAGATGCTGGAGCACAGGCCTCACAGCCCCGATTTTGTCGTCCGGAGCACCCTGCACGTCCTAGCTTTTCCTGCGTTTAGCTACGCTCCAGTTCAGAGGTTAGGAGTCCCAATTTCTCAAGAGATTTTTCTTCATATTTGGGTCAGCAGTGCCAAGAGAAAGAATGAGGTGTCGGTGCCATCATGGTTCTTTTCCACCTCTACTCCCACTGATGTTGGAGTCTTATCTAACTCATCTAAAAAAAAAAAGCTACCCAGTGAAACCCTCAGTCCTTTAGGACAGTTCCAGCCGTGTAGCAAGTGCTACAAAGGAAAGAGGGCCTGTTATGGCCTACATCCTCCCACCCAGGCCAGCCAGCATTTACACAAGCTGCCATCCAACCGCCCGGAGAAGACAGTGAGTCCAGGCAAAGGTTGAGGGATAGGGATGCAGGACTCTCAGACAGGTCTTGACCCAAACTGGAGAGAAGGATTGCCACCAGCTCTGATGGCAATGGTGAAAGAGAAATGGATGAGAGTTCAACGGGGCTCACTCCAGATGGCATCAGAGAACAGCAGGTAGGGTGGTGACACCACATCTTACCCCACTTCCTTTCTCTGTGCTCTGGCCCACCCTCAAGCTACTTACCTACAAATAAAGACAACTGCGTAAGTACAGTCTGGGGTAATGGTGAGAATGGAGTAAGGCTTCTTCCAGCATCCACAGGGGGTTGGTCCAGGACCCTTGCAGATACTGAAATCTGTAGATGCTCAAGTCCCTTATATAAAGTGACATGGTACTTGCATATAACCTATGCATATTCTCCTGTACACTTTAAATCACCTTTAGATTACTTAGAATACCCAATACACTTGTATTTATGTCATGTAAATGGTTTTACACTCTGCTTTAAAATCAGTATTATTTTGGCCGGGTGATAGTGGCTCATGGCTATAATCTTTGCTACTCAGGAGGCAGAGATCAGGAGGCTGGCTCATGGGTCAAAGCCATCCCCGGCAAATAGTTCTCCAGACAGTATCTCGAAAATATCCAACACAGAAAAGCGTTGGCAGAGTGGCTGAAGCAGTAAAGTGCATGAGGCTGTGGGTTCAAATCCCAGTACCACTAAAAAAAAAAAAAAAAAAAGAGTTTTTTTTAAATTGTATTGTTTTTTTACCTTGAATATTTTCAATCTGCACTTGGTTGAGTCCATGGATACAGAGGGCGAACTGTATGTTAGTATTTGTGAAAAACACATTTTAGACTGTAAACCACTGTGGAACATGACTTTTAAATGGTAAAGCACTGTACTTAGGGATTGCAATATTTTTATTGTCATGAACTCAAATGGTTAATGAAGGAGAAAAATGAGAACCTGCCTAGGCTGGAGATTAGGAAATAATGAGTCAAAAGAAAAATCCTGTGGCAAGTAGGCACGCCCTCTTTTTTTTTTTCACAACACACAAAAAAAGAAAATAACATTCTAGTAAGCAAACATTGCCAGTACTTGTTGTATAAGCTTTTAAAATCTCACATTTTGTTTGCAACCATAAGATATATTCTTTTCCCACCATTTCAGATTTCACTGACAGAAAAAAAATAACTGAGAAGAGGTGGAGGTGACAAATAGCACACTAGTCTATGAACCAGGGGTGAGATGGTAATAAATTTAAATCTAGGTATAAAAATAGCCAAATATTTTAATTTTTAGGATTTAATTCTGCTCCAGGAATTTGGAAAGGCATCCAGGACTTGGGAGTCTCAGGAGGCCATTTCCCATATTGGTTGAATCCCACTGCCTCCTAAAATTTTTCCCCCATACCACTTCTGACCCATGGCCCTCAATGCTGAGGAACTCTAATTTGCATCCATTAGCTATTTTAAAATTATTTTTTCTGATAAACTAATGCGCTATGGGCAGAAAATTTTAAATGCAAGGAAAAGTTATTGTTAGAGAAAGAAGCCTAGGGACTGATGCATGGAAGCTGGGGAGAGGTGCTTTCTTCTGGGACTTAGTTTATGCTGGGTAATGGAAGTTTGGGCAGAAGCATGTTCTCAGAGGACTCTGGGATCCTTGCTTATTGGAGCCACCTGGGAGCCCAGGTGCAGATTCCTGTGCCCCTGGGGGCTGAGCCTGACCCAGGGTTTTAGGGTTGGAGAGGAATCTGTGGGGTGAGTTTGAGGTAGATTTCTGGGTGGATGGAAGCTGGAGACCCCTCCAGAGGACCCCCAATTCCAGCCTCCATATCTAGAGGAATGGAGATGGGGACAGGCAGGAAAAAATAGGGAAAAAAGCTATTTAATAAGCACAGTAAGGTGGACTTTATTTAGGGTAGTCACAATAGGTATAGGGATTAGGGCAATGGGATTTTTGCAGTGGGTGAGAGAGATTGGGCTATCTCTAAATACAGTATGGGCAGTGGAAATTCATAGCCAAGGAGCAGGGTGGGATTGGTGAATGGAAAATGCAAAGAGAAAACGTGAGGGCTGTGGGGGATTCTGGCTAAACCAAGCTAACAGGATTCTTACTGCAGACAGGCCGAGGTGATTAGACATGGCCTGGGGGATAACCAAGGAGGGGGACTTGATCAGATATTGAGGGTAATCAGAATCAGGGGAGGGGGGTTCTTGTTAAACTACTTAGCAAGGTTCTTTGCTAAAACTGTATTCTTCAAGGAAGTGCACAGATGGGCCTAGGCAAAGATTCCATGGCCTAAATAAAGTCTGGCCAAGCAAAGAATTTTTGCCAGCAATAAAAAAGGGGAAACACTTACCCATAATCCCTTCACTTAGGAATGACTGTTTACACTGTGTGTTGGTGTCTTTAATAGCTAATAATTCTGAGCCTCTTCTTATGTGCTTATTTACCACTTATAACCTTCTCTGGAGAAATATCTATTCAAATTATTTGCCCGTTTTCAAATTGTGTCATTTTTCTTTTTATTGTTGAGTTGCAAGAATTTTTTATTTATCCTAGATACTAGAACCTTATCAGCCTCGAGTGCTGGGATTACAGGTATGTACCACCATGCCTGGCTCCCAAGACTAGAATTTTTGAGTCAAAGGTTATGGATGCTTAGTTTTTGGAGTGGCCTACAAATGTGCCACACAGAAATTCTGGGTTAGAAAGGGCCCTTAAGGGCTACATCATTTAGGAGATTCCAAACTTCATTTATGTCAAAATATTAGACCCACATCAGATAAAAAGAGGTAGAAACTGAAGTCTTGTTTATAGAACTTTCTCAGTGATCCCTGAAACACTACTATAAAACTCAAGTTTGGAAAACTGATTGAACTAACAGTATTCTAATTTTCCGATCAGGGAAAGGGTGCTCTCGATCATAAGAAGTGACTTGTTCAAGGTCACACAATTAGTAGCAGACTGGGACAGCCTCAGATCGAATGCTCCTCTGTTGGATTCAGCCTCTAGGAATGATTGCCTTTGTAGACTCACACGTCCTTTCTGCAAGTGTCTAAAATTTCAGAACCCAAGAAGCAGTACTGTCGTATTTTACAGGTAACAAGAATTATTATTATTATTATTATTATTATTATTATTTTGTGTGGTAGTGGGGCTTGAACTCAGGGTCTTCACCTCGATCCACTCCAGCAGCCCTATTTTTGTGAAGGGCTTTCAAGATAGGGTCTCACGGAACTATTTGTCCGGGCTGGCTTCGAAACGCGATGCTCCTGATCTCTGCCTCCTGAGTAGCTAGGATTACAGGCGTGAGCCACCAGCGCCCGGCAAGGTAACATGAATTTTACGGGGTAAATTTATGGGAGATCGAAGGGTGTGCCATTGGGAGGTTTTGTGACGAGGCCTTACTGTGAAAGGACAACTTTTCTATTTTGCACGTTTCTAGCCGGCACTAAGGAATGGGAGGCGCGATGAGGGACCCCTTCCCGGTTTGGGGAAGCCAAGGAACATCTTGGGGGGCCAGGGGCACGTGCGGCTACTCTTGCTGATTCTTTGCGGAGTCTTCTTTTCCTCCCCTGCTCCACAAATCCTCAGGTCCCAGCTCCTCAGCCTGGCGTGTGTTCGGATCCTGCGCCTCCTTCTCCCCACGCCCCGCCCCCATCTCCAGCCCCACCCAGTCCCATCTTTCCCGGGCTAGGCTGGGTGTTCCCCTAAGTCAGGGGCAGCGTCTTAGGTATCCTTATGTCCCCAGAACGAGAGGGACTGGCACACAGTGGTGGGTCAAAAAGTGCACTGACTGAAATCTCTCTTCTCATGAAGAACTGTTCCCGAAGGCCGAGCATTCATCCTATAAATCACAGCAGAGGTGCTTCCTACTTCTCTGCCGCTGGCGTTGTCCCTCCGCATACTGGAGCTCGGGACCCGGAAAGGGCCAGTTAGGACCGAGTCCCTTGGTCGCTCAAGGGCTGTGAGGAGGGAGGGGGAGAAATGACCCAAACATTGTATGAATAAAAGAAAAAAAAAAAGGGCTGTGAGGAGGAAGTAAGTGCTGCACGATCGACACCTACGGAAAGGGCGAGCGCCAGGGCCCCGTTTCTTTGGCAACCCTACGGACAATTTGGGCTCCATCCACCCTAGTTTCTCTTGGGAGGGCCAAAATTCGGTTTCCTGAGCGCGTCTCTGTGGTTTCGGCAGCCTAGAAGGACCGCAACGGCACTTCCGGGAAGATGGCGGCGCGCAGGGCCGCTGTGGCACGTGTGTCCGCGGAGAGGACCCGTCCATGACGGTAAGGGGAGCGCAGGGACGAATGCGAAGGCAGGGGAGAATTTTTACCCTAGTTATGCTGCGGTGCCAGTAGGAGGGCTGGAATTTAGGCCTCGGCTCTTTAGATCATTGTAAGATGAGTGGCCCCGGACCACCTCCGAAAACTCACTGACACCTAAGCGTGCTTGCATCCTTCACAAACATCGCAGCGCACAACCCGAGACCTAGTGGCTTCTGTTCACAGTCTTCCCGTGAAAGTCCATTAAAAGCATTTCCCTCTGTGTCACTCAGCTCAACAATTAACGACTGAACACATTCTCGATTTCGGGCGTTGCATTCATTAAGTGTCAAGGGTGGGGAATAAAGCTCGTCTCTGACTTCCAAGGCACGTATTTTGAATTATTGCGAGAAGGGATAGGTTGTGGAAAGTCTCAGCAAAAAGCACAAAGAGGTATAAGAGACTGAAGAATGTAGTGATTAAGAACACCAGTTCTGGAATGTCTGAATCCTGATTTGGGAGAGTAATTAAACCTCCGTGTGCCTGTCTCTTGGTTTGTAAGTTACAGATAGTAACACCTCCTAGTAGGTTTGTTGGCAGCATTAAATGATAGTCGGTATGAAGCAATTAGCAACAGTCTGGCATTGATTCAATGTACAATAAATATGATTATTATTGTTGAATTCTAGGAGTTGATAGATCAGAGATGACTTCTGAGAGGAGGCAGGATTTTTTGTTTCGTTTTGTTTGGAGGTACTGGGTTTGAACTTGTCCTTGTGCTTGCCAGGCAGGTGCTATATTGTTTGAGCCACACCTTCAGCCCCCTGGGAGAGTTTTGAGGCTACCTCAATGTTTTTATTTTACTTGTCCTGTGGGCCAGTGGTTCACATCTGTAATCCTAGCTACTTGGGAGCTCAGGCAAACCATTTGTAAGACCCCATCTCCAAAATAACCAGAGCAAAATGGACTGGAGGCATGGCTCAAGTGGTAAAGTGCCTGCTTTGCAAGCTGAAGCCCTGAGTTCAACCCAGGTTCCACCGAAGATTGATAGATTTGTCCTACAGTATCAAGAAGCCAGATATAGCTATTTCTTCACTCAACACTTCTTTTGGAGCTTTTAAGGTATTCACCATAGAAGTGTGTGAACACAAATGTGAATCATCCTGAATTTGTTCCTCTTTGTACTTAAGAAATCTGCTTACCATTCTTAATTTTGTTTTTAAATCTGCATGTCTTACTTTCTTAATTTCGATTTATTTGTTTATTTGTTTGGTGGTACTGGAGTTTGAACTCAGGGCCTCACACTTGGTTGGTACGTGCTCTGCCACTTGAGCCACTCTGCCCACTCACCATTCTTAAGTCTAATGTATAATGTTTAGGAGTGACTATAATGGTGTGTCTTAATTTTTTTTTAAGGATATTTGCTAGACCTTAAACTCAAATGAAAGTTTTGCCTTTCAGAGTTGTCCCTTGGGAAGGCTATAGAATTACTCCAGGAGTCCCATTAGTCAGCTTTAACAATTACCTGCAATGCCTGTAAAAAGTGAAATGACTACAGATTTAGCACAAGTTAACTGTTATGAGTCAATATTGCCAGTCTGTCTTGAATATCTTGTGTTATAAGTCATCTTGATGATTTCAGAGGCAAATTTAGTATATATGTTGGGTAATGCCATAATGGGTCCAAAAGGAGAAATGTGTGAGTTACTGTAAAGAAATGAATGGCACTAGTTGGCGATGTTATAGGGGACCCCTATGAAATCAGGCAGTTGGGGCTCATATTCAAGTTCTATCTTTTCCTAGCAGTGTATCTTCCGGCAAGGAACCCAGGCCTTATTTTCCTCATTTGTAAAATAAGGAGAATACCTATGTCACAGGATTATCAAGATTAAATGAGATAACATGTGTAACCCACCTGTTATGTATTAAATGCTAAGTAAGAGTATCCTTCCTAAGGTGAAAAGTTTCAAAAAAGTTGCTCCCACAAGACTAAAATATAGTAGCAGTATGGAATAGTGTGTAGTCCCAACACCAAGAGCACAGTATAAATGCTGAGGCATGGGTACAGGATAGGCTCTCGTAAGTACCACTGTCTTATAACTCGGGTTCCCAAACACCTCTAGCTTTGTTTATACAGGATAATATATTTTGGGAGACGTAATCATCTGATGGTAGACAGTGGATTCTGCACACAATCTGCATAGTTTGAATTCTACATCTCTTAGCTGTGTGACCTTGAGAAAGCCATCTAACCTCTTTAAGGCTTAGTTTCTTCATGTGTAAAATAGAGATAATTATACTTTCCAAGCATAATGGGGAGATTGAATGAAATAATCTATGCAGAGCCTTGGCACACAGACTGGCAATGGTGAGCTCAATACTAATACCAGTCCTCCTTGACCCTGATATATGTTGGTGTCGGCCTCTGTGGCCAATCAAGGGACTCCCAAAGACCAGGCCTCCTAAGAGAATTCATACACAAGAAGCTAGGATGCTTTGGGCACTTTCTCCTTCTCTCTTAAAAGGATGATGCCACCTTTCCTTCCCTGGTGAGAGCCTGACACAGAGTGCCCATCATGAGTGTGACTCCAGAGGTCAAGAGTCGTGGGATGAAGTTTGCTGAGGAGCAGTTGCTGAAGCATGGATGGACTCAAGGTGACCCTATGGGGTGTCTTCCACATCCTGTCCTCTGCCCTTGGATAGACGCATCATCCCAGATCACCTCCCTATAGCCACTCATTAAAAGGAAAAGCTAGTTTAAAGAGAAATTTGCAGAAGAATAAATTTTCTGACTTATTCAGAAAAGAATGGAAGAAATTCCCATTCTTGGATATGAGGAAGTAAGTAGATAAAGGAGGAATAGATAATGAGGAAGTGGTTGGAAAGACTGGGGGAGGAGGCAGTAAGAGACGTGGCCTGTGTCACAAAAGAGATATGACAGAAAAGGTAGTTAGGCTCAAAGACAGAGGGACTGCATGCAGTGGTACTAGAAAAGAATGGTTCTGGGAAAGTTTCCAGTACTAGGCATGTGGAATGGCAAGGAGTGACACATGTAGAGGCTGCCTGGTGAGTGCTCAGGGCAGGCTGCAGAATAAGCCAAGTCACTCACTGTCCTCTGCAGGCAAAGGCTTGGGCCGGAAGGAGAATGGCATCACCCAGGCCCTCAAGGTGACACTGAAGCAAGACACTCATGGGGTAAGCCAGGGAAGCTGGTCAGCATTGATGGGAGAAAGAATCCTTGAGGGCAAGTGGGGCAAGTACCCATAGCTCATACTTATTTACCTGGCAGGTGGGGCACGACCCTGCCAAGGAGTTCACAAACCACTGGTGGAATGAGCTCTTCAACAAGACTGCAGCCAACTTGGTAGTGGAAACTGGGCAGGTATGAGCTTGATAGGTTGGCACATGAAACCTAAGAGCCTGGGATATAGAGTGGTGGGGGAGACATGGTATGTCACCCACTTACTGATACTTTCTTACAGGATGGAGTACAGATACGGCATCGTTCTAAAGAGACTACCTGTCATAATCACCCCAAGCCCAACTTGCTGTATCAGAAGTTTGTGAAGGTATTAAAGGATAGGGTGAGAGTGCCCATCCTTTTTTTCTTCTGTCTCCCCTGGGGCCAGCAAGTGGCTGGGTGTCCTATCAATACTCAGGGCTATCCTACTATACTGAGATCCTGTGCCCAACCTTGCTGTTAGACTGCCCAGGCCTCAGCAATAACATCTTCAGGTTCCATGGATCCCTGCCATCTGCTGAGGGAGCAGCAATACGGAGTGGGAAGTAGGATACAGCACCTTGAGTGGGACTGCCAGAAGGTGGGTGAGGTGGGAAGTGGTGTCCCAATTCAAAGGATTTAGAAGCCAGAGGAGACTGAGAGATCATCTGGTCCATCCTTATCTCCCATGTGTAGTCTAAAGAGGGAAAAGTAGCTTGCTGAAGAACTCACAGCTGGCTAGTAATGGCAAACAAGGTTGAACCCAGGTCTTTGGACTTCTACCTTATTATACCAATAAAAGGGAACTAACATTTAGTGATCATCTATTATGTGCTAAGGACAGCATGCTTCATAGCAAATCATTCCCATTTCTCTCTGTTGTTATGACTCCAAGCCATCAGCACCTGTCTTAACACACAAATTGCATCATGTTACTGGATTTTTTTTTTTTTTTCTCATCTACTGGAGTTTGAACTTAAGACAGTCTTGCATGCTTGCTATGCAGGTACTCTACCACTTGAACCATGCCCCCAGCCCTTTCGGCTTTAGTTAACTTTTTGGATACTCACTTTTCTCCCAGGCCAGTCTAGACATCGATCTTCCTAGTTACACTTCCTGTGTAGCTGGGATGACAGGCGCACTACCATGCCCAGCTTTTACTGGCTAAGATGGGGTCTTGCTATGTTTTTGCCTGGGCTGTCCTTGCACTGTGATCCTCCCCATCTCCATGTTCTGAATAGCTAAGACTAGTGTAAGCCGCTGCACCTGGCTTACTGGCTCCTCCTTGACCTAGGATGATAGTCTAAATTTATTAGACTGGTTTACCTGTTTTTTTTTTTTTTTTGTGCGTTTTTTTTTTTATTGCTTTATTATTCATATGTGCATACAAGGCTTGGGTCATTTCTCCCCCTTGCCCCCACCCCCTCCCTTACTACCCACTCTGCCCCCTCCCTCTCCCCCCCACCCCCTCAATACCCGGCAGAAACTATTTTGCCCTTATCTCTAATTTTGTTGAAGAGAGAGTATAAGCAATAATAGGAAGGAACAAGGGTTTTTGCTGGTTGAGATAAGGATAGCTATACAGGGAGTCGACTCACATTAATTTCCTGTGCGTGTGTGTTACCTTCTGTTACCTGGTCTTTCATGTCTTGCCTCTGCCTTCTCCATCCTCATCTCTTGCCAGTTCTCTCTAGGACCATTACACTTCAGCCAAGTAGAATCTGGTTCTTTTATTTTGAGGCACTGTGTTCTTCACCTTCAGGTCTTTGCATCTACTATTCCCTTAGCCAGGGACATTCTTTTCCTTTTGTCCTTTACCTGCTTTTTCTTGTCTTCCAGACTTAGCTTACATATCAGTTACTTCTAGAAACCACTCCCCAAATCCTGAAGTCTCAGTTGGATACCTCTCCATAGTACAGGCAAAGGTCTATCATAATTGTCCATATTTTGCCATACTCCTTTCCCCCCGCCACCACATAGTTCCATCTGGGCTGGACCCATCTCATTCTATTCTGTCCACAACTCCTTGGTCCATAATAGGTTCTCAGTTAATGTAATTTAGTTAAGTGGTGGTACTGTGAACAGGTTTAGGATATCGGGTGGAGTGCTGCTTTTATTGTCAGTTACTGACACTCGTCCCACTGAGACTTGACCCAGAGTACTTCCTCCTGCTTTTTCTGCCCACCAGCCTGCTATGAGCCAGAGAGGCCAAGGCTGCTCCACCTCACAAGCAACTGTAGCCCACGCTCTGCCCAAGTTGAAGTATGCAGGCTGCCATACCTTTCTATGGCTCTGCAAGGAGTAATTGTTGGGGGCTGGCAGATTCCTGCCTAGAGCTGTGAATTTCTGTGGGAAATTCACAAGGGAAGAGGGCTTAAGGGTTTTTTTGGTGGTACTAGGGGTTAAACTCAGGGCCTTGTGCTTGCTAGGCAGGTGCTCTACCATTTGAACCACACCTCCAGCCCAGGAAGAGGGTTGGTAGTGGTGTTGAGTGAGCCCTTCTCCACCCCATGATCCCTCCTAGACAGCCACACTGACTTCAGGCGGAGAGAAACCAGACAAAGATTTGGAGAGCTGCAGTGACGATGACAACCAGGGACCCATACCTCCAAAGATGTGAGACTCCATTTCAGCACTGTGGGCATGTGGGAGGAAGAGATGCCTTGGGATCTTAAGAGAAAGGGGTAAATCTAATGCTTGACTAGGTTTCTTTTTTTTTTTTTTGGAGATACTGAGGTTTGATGTTAGGGGTTTGTACTTGTTAAACAGGCTCTACTGCTTGAGCCCCACCTCCAGTCTTGACTGGATTTCTTGCTTTGGTTATATTGGAGATAGGGTCTCTCTTTTGCCCAGGCCAGCCTGGACCGTGATCTTATTTTATGCTTCCCGCAATTGCTGGGGTGAAAGGCATGCATTACCACACTCATTTTTTATCCACTGAGATGGGGGTCTTGTCAACTTTTTTGCCTGGGCTTGCCTGGAACTGCCATCCTCCTGATCTCAGCTTCCCGCACAGCTTTGGATGACAGTGGTGTGCCACTGTGCCCAGCTATTGTTTGAGATAAAGCTTCCCAAACTTTTTGCCCAGGCTGGCTTCAAACTACAGTCCTCCTGATCTTAAACTTGAGGCTTGAGCCACCAGACCCAGTTTTTTTTTTCCCCCCTTTTTTGTGGTACTGGTGTTTGAACTCAGGGCTTTGCGCTTGCTAGGCAGTGCTCTATGTTTAAGCCACACCTCTAGTCTTGACTGGGTTTCTTGAGGAGGTGGAATTACGTTGTACTAATCTTTGTATCCCTAGCACCTGAAAAAGTGCCAGGTTTTCAGCAAAAACTGTTGTTGAATAATCATTTTAGAGAAGTCTTCACCAGATTTTTTGGTAACTCCTCATCTCTCCCCACAGTCTGACTGATGAAATGCTGCTCCAAGCTTGTGAGGGGCGAACAGCATACAAGTAAGTAGTGGTCTCCTTGGGCTGCCTTCTTTGCTGCCTACCCTTGAGGACAGCCTGTGTCACCTCTCAGTTCTTTTCACCCCAGGAAAGAATTCTTGCTGTTGACCCATCTACTGCATGAAGATAAAAAGCTCCTCACCTTTGCCCCCAACTTCCTCTCAGGCCTAAGATTAGGTCTGTGACACCCTTGCTGACTTGGACCCCATTTCTTTCAGGGCTGCCCGTCTTGGGATCACAATGAAGGCCAAGCTTGCTCGGCTAGAGGCCCAGGAGCAGGCCTTCCTGGCTCGTCTCAAAGGCCAGGACCCTAGGTCCTCTCAACCACAAACTGAGAGTAAACCCTCTCAAAAAAAGAAAAAAAGGAAGCAGAAAGAGGAGGGAAAGGCTACAGGAACTGAAAAGAATATAGGTGAGGAACACCTGGAACACAATGACAAGAGCTTCAGAAAAAGCAAGAAGAAGAAAAGGCAACATCAAGAACAGGTCTTAGAGGAGAGGGAACAAACAACTATAGGGAGTGAGGAGGAAGAGGTTATACGAACAAGTGGGTTTGGGGAATTGAAGAGCAGAGAACAATCTGATCAGACTCTCAGGACAAAGAAGAAAAAGAAGAGGCAGCACCATGAAGTAGAGGAGGAGACGGGGGTCTTCACTGAAGGAGGAACAGGGAAGGAGGCTGCAAGTGGTGTCAGGACAAAGGTGAAGAGCAAAGCACACACTGACCTGTGCAGCAGAAGCAAGAAAAGGCAACAGCATGAGGAGGACTTAAACACAGAGGATGAAAAAAGGGAGGAGACTGCTTCAAGTAGCGGGATTAGGGAAGCAGAAAGCAGAACGGGCAGTGAAAGAGGAAGCAAAAAGAAAAGACAGCAGTGTCAGGAAGAGGTCTTAGTTGTAAACCATGAAGATAAAGATGGCAGGACTAGGGAAACAGAGAGCGTAAGTAAGAGGCAGACAAATCTAGAGGAGAAGAGAGCTGGAGTCAACACTGAGCAGAGATTCAAAAAGAAGAAACAGAGGAAGAAAGACTGAAAGTCTGGTCAAGGTGGGGCTTAATCAATTTCCAGTTGTAGTGTCAGAGGCCTGGGTCAAGGCAGGTCTTCAGCACACTCTCCTACATGAGGATTCCCTCCCAAGAAAGAAACTGAACTCTGTAATACCAGATTTTGAGAGGAGAAAGCCAACATGCTTTATCTTAGCTGAGAGAGAGTCCTAGTTCCCTCTGCAGCTTCTAACCCAGACAGCATGCACTCCAGTGCTTCCAGGAGCCAGGCAGCTGAAGGACAATGAGTACTGGGGGCTGTGGGAAGAGGAACGCAGTGAGGGGCATCTGCGTTTGAAGGAACATCCCTGCTAAATTAAGAAGCTGAAAACAGACTTTTGTGAAATGTCTGGATTTAATTATTGTGAAGGCTAAGGAAAACAATTTTAGGTCTGTGGGCTAGATTCAGCTCACAGGCTGCCAGTTTCTAACTGTCTTGGATGATTATGAATAAATGTCAGCTTGGGCTCCTAGCCTACAAATAAGTCCTAACTGGCATCTCTGTTCCCAGACTGAGAATGACTTGAGCACAAATTAGATTTTCCTTGGAGACCTCTGAAGAAATTTCTTGTTAACTTCCTGGGTCTTGCTACACTGACGTAAACAGAAGTAGTTTAGAGATGTCATCTCCCTGTGTGTACCAAATGGAATAAGCCCACGTAAAGGCATCTAACAGTTATTTTTCGTTGCTTCCAAATGCCACAGCAATCTCTCTTACCTGTTCTGTTTTGTTTCCCCAGAGAGATAGCACAACCTATCCAGTGTTGCTCTCTAGTCCTCACCACCCACCAATCTATGGCCAGTAGAGCCCCAGAACTCCAGTTTTGAGAGAAAAGGCTCTAAGTCTTTATTGGAAAGAATGCCCACCTGCCTCCCTCACTGCAGACGATAGACACACTCAGTATCAGGGTAGGATGGAAGATTCAGCTGGTACTTCTTCTCCAGAGCAGGTGGTACAAAACGACCCCCCAAGTAATGGTAACGACCAGTAAACTGAGTTGCAGACTTTTTGGGTGCCGTTAGGGAGATGAGCAAGTCTGGCTGGATCCCTCCAGAGTTTCCTTTTTCCACATCCCATCCTAAAAAGACAGTGGTATTCAGGAAGCACATAAAAAGCCACAGGTTTAGTCCCCTTCTAAACCTTGGCTTTACCCTAGTCCTAAAGCAGTGGGAAGCCCAGGTCCCAACTTGGGGAATTCTCATCCTAGGTGCTCCTTATATCTTTGGGCTTGGGTTTCTTCACAGACCAGCATGTAAAGAGGGCTCCTTAATTTTCCTCCCCAGCCCTCATGTGACACCTGGAAATTGTTCCATTAGAGACAAGTTATTTTAGGCCTGGTCTGAGCCATGGCTCAAAAATCAGGACCCTAGCTGTCATGGTGGTTCACACTTGTAATCCCAACTACTTGGGAAGCATAAATAAGCTGGCCATTCAAGGCCAGTCTATACAAAAACCCCATGTCAACCAGCAGCCAGACAGAGTGGTAAACACCTGTCATCCAAGCTACTCGGAAAACAAATAGAATCACAATTCAGACCATCCAAGGCAAAAACTTAAGACGCTATTTGTAAAATAACTACAACAAAAAGGGCTGGGGATATGGCTCAAGTGGTAGAGCTCCTGCCTAGCAAGCACAAGGTTCTGAGTTCAAACTCCAGTAGCACCAAAAAAGGGAAGAATCAGAACTTACAGGTACCAGTTTTGAGACCCAATAGGCCCCCAGCCACCCTCCCACCCCCCCCCCAACCCAACCTCTGGTTCCCAGCACCTGAGGGAATGTCGATGCTGGCAATAGGGACAGTGACTCCACTCAGGACATTCAGGATGTTGTGGAATGGTTCCCGAACATCACCCCTGAAGCTGAAGCCAAAGATGGCATCCACTACCAGCTCATACAGCTCATCAATCATCATGGACTGTGATGGAACAGGAAAAGGAAAGGATATTAGAGCCAACAGCTACACAGAGAACCTTAATTGGGAAGGGCTGTCCTCTGTATCCAGAAACCACTCAGAGGTACAGACGCAACTGTATCTCTTTCACAGAGCATCCCATGGTCTAGAGTAATGGGTAGATGGTCAGATGGTCACTAATTCAGGCCAACCTGATTTTGGTCTCACCTTTGTCATAATTCTGTGATTCTGGGCAAATCACTTCTCTGCATCTAGCATCTTCATCTGTAGACTGTCCAGATTTTTTTTTTTGTCTTCTGGGACTAGGGTTTGAACTCAGGGCTTTGCACTTACAAAGCAGGCACCTCCAGTCCATTTTGCTCTGATTATTTTGGAGATAGGGTCTTGTGAACTATTTGCCTGGACTGGCCTTGACCCTTGACCCTACCAATCTCGGGGTCCCATGTAGCCAGGATTACAGGTGTGAGCTACTGGCACCCACCTCAGTTTCTTTTTTCTTCTTCTTTTTTTTTTATCTTGAATGTCCTCCTAAATCTATACAACTACAGAATGGGTTTAGAATGAAGCAGTCACTCCAGCCTGAGTGGCAGATCATGTGCTAACTGCATGCTATCTGACTGCAGAGTGGAAGGAGTGATGGGAAGGAAGCTTTAGAGGTGGTGGGTGGTGGTATTAGGGGCTTATGGAGCACACCTTATGGAGGAGGCTCTTCTACCACTTCGATTCCAATAGCACCTTTTATGCCAGGCACAAGTGAGCCTAAGTCTGGAAACATGAAAGTAGAGCAGAGCACAGGCAGTGGTTATTGGGGAGATGGGGTATCAAATTGAAGCCACCTACCTCTGGGAACATTTCATCAAGGAAAGGAATGTCCATTTTCTGACACTGAGTCACCAGCCCAGTGAAAAGTGGTTTGTTAGGTCTTTTGGGATAATAGATGGTTGGCTGGTAGCCCTAGTGGGAAAGGAAAGTGACAGTTCAACTCAACAGCCCAGAGTCCTCCTCACTCCCTCTGAGAGCCTCTGCCCACATACTCACAAAGAGTTTGAGGTGTCGGGCACAGACTAGACCATCTCCTCCATTATTCCCAGGGCCACAGATGACCAGGACAGTAGGAGGGCTCTTGGACATGGACGTGGGGGGATAGGCCTGAAGGCAGGGGCAAAGAGGCTTCAGGTAGTAACAGCACGGTGAGCCAGCCATCTTTCCCGTCCCTTTGGGGCTAGGCCAGAGGGCTTGAACAGTGCCTCCTCCCTCGCTCCTCCCAAACGCTGCGCGTTGTGCCACTGACCTTGGCGATGGCTGTGGCACAGCTCAATCCAGCTAGCTCCATAAGTTGGTCCACACTGAACTGGTACTCGTTAAATAGCTCCTGGTCCACGGCCTGGGCTTCCTCCTGGCTGAGGAAAGCCCCTAACCTGAGCCCCAGCGGTTCAGGAGCGGCAAAACTCAAGCTGCACAGCTGTCCTGGGTCCCGCCCCCGGGAGGCAGAGCCGGGCACCCACGTCCGGCCCCGCGTGCCCGCTCGCATACCTCAGGTATTTGACCGCTGTGCTCGCCATGGCTTCTGAGTCCCGGCGGGCACTCGAGCTCAGACACTGTGTTCCCCACCAGGTGAGTCCAGCGCGGCAGACACCTGCCTGGCTTCTGATTCGCGGCAGGCGCGAACCGGTAACCAGCAGCCCAATCCCCAGCAGCGCCCGCAACCCAGACATCCAGCCTGCGGTGTACGCGCCACCGCGTCGCCCCTGCGCATGCGCGATGCTCTCACTGCCGCCCGCCCCCGCTCCCCAAGGGGCGGGACTAGCGCACGCTGTACCGGAAGCTGTGGGGCTGGGAGGGCTCTGCACATTCGGTCCTTTGGAGCACGTGGCCCCCTTCGAAGGTTCTGCCCGCCGAATCCTCCACTTGGTGCACTTTCCATTACAGCCTAGATTCCAGTCCTTTGCCGGACGATTACAGATTGTCTTTCATTTCCAGATGTATTGAAGTGCTTTGCTCCCAATCGCCCTTTGGTAGTAATAAATCATGAGTTTGTAGTTATCTATTTTTAAGTTTTGGCGGTACTGGCGTTTGAATTCAGGGTCTCATGCTTGCTAGGCAGGCGCTCTATCACTTGAGATACGCCCTAGCCATTTTTTTGCTTTAGTTATTTTTTCGGGTAGGATTTTGAGGCCCTTCCCCACCACACTGACGCTTTACCAAGACCCATACGATGCCTCAAACCCCCATGACTATTACCTAAGGCCTTCTGAGAAGTTGGGATCACAGGTGCACACCACAATGCCCAGTCTGATTGTTGAAATAGGGTGTAGCTAATTTTTAGCCAGGCCTCAAACCATGATCCTCGGAATCTCTACCTTGGGAGTAACAGGGATTACAGGCATGAACCAACACATCCCACGGTTTTGTAGTTCTTTAGGAAGCTGTGTTACCGTAGTTAGCCTGGGTTCCTTGCCCCCACCACTTAGTAGCTGAGTGAACTTGGACACTCCTGGTGTCAGTTCCTGGGCTATATAACAGGAATTGAAGTACATGTTTAATAGGGTCTAATGCTTGCAAAGACATCTCAGAGGACCCGTGCAACCTGGTTCATAAATTAAGCTAATTTTCTTATTTACACTACAAAGCATTTTACATAATTTAGGACCTGTCTCTCCATTATGTTAATTCCCCCTTCTTTTTGCTAGACTATCACACTGTACTTCCCAGTTATAAGTAGGTTGGGTAAGCTGTGGTTTAAAATGTAGTTCAAACTGTAAGTTCCAGGTCACAGTAATGTTTCCTTAGAAACTTTAAGGAACTACCACTGATTTTGTCCCCAGCCCTAACCAAGTACTTCTGAAACTGCTAACGCTCTGTTAGATGGTTAAGGAAAAAAGTTGGGGAAGTAACAAATCAGTTACCATCCAGGCACTAAATATTGCTATGGACTGAATGATTTCCTCAAATTCATATGCTGCAGCCCTAACTTCCAATGTGATGGTATGGAGATGAAACCTTTGGGAAGTGATTGGGGTAGGTAAGGTCATGAGGGCTAGGCCATGGTATGATGGGATTAGTTCTTTTATGAGGGTTCAATCAAGCTCCTTCCCCACCACACATACGATTTTCCAGGACTCCTACCATGCTGGCATCCTGATTCCAGCCTTTAAGCATCTAGAACTGTGAAAATTCTATTGTTTAAGCATCCAGTGTATGGTATTTTGTTATGGCAGCCTAAGCTAAGACACAGGTGGAGTGAAAGTCCTCTTTCTGTGCTAAACTTATTCTCTCATGAAATACGTTCCTGGCTGATTCGCTGAGAAAGGAGCCCTCCTGCTTGTCACTACTTTCCTTTTTAATTATAAGAGGTTTATCATTTACAGACATACCCTTGGCATCCAGCTATGCTTATCTTATATATTTGTCATGAGAAATTGAGTTTGTCAGACTTACTATTCATCTAACTTTTATACCTGTATACCTGTGTACATTACAATTGAATAATTTTATGTAAGTCCTCACTTTATTTTCTAACTTCACTAGTATATAAGTGGGTTCACTTTTACATATTACTCAAAACTCTCTACAAGTGTGGGAAAGTTAATTTTGGTGATTCTGAAGATTCCTTCCTTCCTTCCTTCTTTCCTTTCTGCAGTACTGGGGCTTGAACTCAGGACCTACCCCTTGAGTCGCTCTGCCAGCCCTTTTTTGTGATGGGATTTTTTGAGATGGGGTCTCTTGAACTGTTTGCCTAAGCTGGTTTGGAACTTCTATCCTCCTAATCTCTGCCCCCTGAGTAGCTAGGATTAGATGTTGAGCCACCTGCGCCCAGCTTGAAGATTTCTTTCTAAAACACAATGTAAAGCATGTTTCTTTGACTTTTTTGAACATTTATATGTGCCAAGTGCTAACATGAATCATTTCATTTCATAGTAACCCTATTATTATCCCCATTTTACAAATGAGAAGATTGAGACTCAAAGATGTTGAATGACATACCCAATGATACAGTGATGGCCATTAGTGGGGCTGGGATCCAAGCAATATGACCTGGAGTCTGCACTTAAGAATTATTCTAGGACTGGTGGAATGGCTTAAGTGGTAAGAGAGCCTGTCTAGTAAGTGTGAGGTCCTGAGTTCAAACCCCAGTACCACAAAAAAACAAACAAACAAAAAGAGTTATTCTATGCCCTCTGGGTACAGGAGGCAGAGATCAGAAGGCTCTTGGTTCCAAGCCAGCCCAGGCAAATAGTTCATAAGACCCTATCTCAAAAATACCCAACACAAAATGGCTGGTGGAGTGGCTCAAGAAGCTTGAGGCTTGGGGCTGAGCCCCAGTACAGCAGAAAAAAAAATCTATACTCATCAAATGCAGAAATATGTAAATAAGGGCTTATTCTGTTGAGATGTTAACACGAAATGATACAAAAAAATATCTCACCACACACAGAATTTATAAGACAAACAAATGGGAGCCGTCTCCAGGAAGGCAGTGCCCAAGATTAGTCCACTTTGGAATTTTCTTTGGGAAATGCTTTCAAAACCAAATCAGGAAGACATGTGGATTGAACACATGCTGAGCTCCAGGAGCTTTTCATATATTACCAAATTTAATCCTGCCAGTCCTACAATATGTTTTTATCCTGTTGTAGATGAGAAAATTGGGTAGCAGTGAGAAATCAAGTAGTTTTCTGAAGATACCACAATAAGTATATGAGAGAGCCAGGGATGGTTGGTATTGGGTTGGCCTAACCCAATAGCAATGTTATGTGTGGCAGACACTGCCACTTGTTCCTCAAAATCCAGTCTCTCTTCTTCCTTTGGTAGCAGATCTCTTGAGTTTTATTTGGTCATATTGCTGTCCTGCTAAATGACCAAATTTAGCATCCTCGAAGCATGGCTATGTAACTAAATTCTAACCAGTGTGATATGAGCAGTCTAACCTCTTTTTTTTTTCCTGAAACAGGAAATAAGACTCCCATTAGAAAGATGCCCTCTGTATACAAGGAAAGTAATATTCTTATCACCAGAGATGGGGTACAGGCTGAAGTAAGTCTGTACAAGCATACCTCATTAAAATGACTTCGTTTAGCCTCCCCATACACTCCTTGTATTTTAGTTGCTTTTCCACGATTGCTTCTTTTTTTTCCCCCTAGTATAAAAACACTTAGGTTTTGCTACTTCTTTGGAGTATTTATTTCCTTATGAGGGCTCCTGTGTCACATAAAACTTTTATTAAATAAATCTATGCTTTCTCTTATTAACTTGTGGGGTGTGTGTATGTGTGTGTGTAGTGCTGGGGATGGAACCCAGAGCCTTGAGCATAACAAACAGATTCTCTGCCACTGAGTTATATCCCCAGCCATGTAAATCCTTTTTTTTTTTTTTTTTTTGGTGGGACTGGGGTTTGACTTCAGGGCTTTGGGCTTGCAAAATAGGTGCTCTACTGCATGAGCCACATCTCCAGAACATTTTGTTCTAGTTATTTTGGAGATGGGGGTCTCAGGAACTTTTTGATCTCAGCTTCCCAAGTAACTAGGATTACAGGTGTGAGCCACTGGTGCCCAGCCATGTAAATCTATTTTATGTCCATCTAATTCTCAGGCCTAGCTAGGGAGCTTAAGAGGGTAGAGGTTAAAATTTGCCTACCCACTATCTGACATGATCAGAAGTGAATTATTTCAACTTAAAACAAAAATACAATTGGGCACCAGTGGCTCAAGCCTGTAATCTGAGCCACTCAGGAGGCAGAGATCAGGAGGATCATGGTTTGAAGCCAGCCCAGGCAAATAGTTTGAGAGACCCTATCTGGAAAAAAATCCAACACAAAACAGGGCTTGTGAAGTGGCTTCAATAGTAGAGCACCTGCTTAGCAAGTGTGAAACCCTGAATTCAAACTCTAGTACTGAAAAAAAAATTCATTTGCTACTTGTCAGAGTGGAGCTAGGGTCTTTTCTCTGAGATTGGGGCCAGAGATTGGAGTTCCTCATCTTCCTTCTTGCATAAACCTCATCAGTTAATACATCACCTGCAATTTCCAGTTTGTTTCCTTAAAGGAAATCAATTAATGGCATGTCTGAAGCAGTCTGAATGCAAGATTTGTCTAGAATCTTATGATCTCCCCTTGCTCACATCTAAATCAATAACTTTTAAAAGTGACTCTCCTTGGGCTGTTAAGAGCAATTGCCTAGCATGCACCATACCATGGGTTCAATCCCCAGCCCTACAAAAAAGCGACTTACTTTAATCAAGTCTTAAGGATCCCACTTAGTTTTTGTAAAAACAGTGCTTGTTTTCACACTTAGTTCTTGAATTTATAATATTTAACTAAATTACACATTACAGACACACATATAACTGGCATGAGCACATGTGATAAGCCACAGCAGACTCTGGTAAGCAAGGCTTGGGAGGGAGCAGAGCTGTACAGCGTTCTGGAAGGTGCTCATTGCCTCAGTTTGAATTCTGCCTTCTCATACCACTGTGTGACTTGGAAATTTAAGTCACTTAACTTTCTAGCCTTCTTTTCCTTATCTTTATTTTGTTTGTTTTTGTTTTTTTGAGATAGGGTCATACTATGTAGTCCAAGCTGGCCTTAAACTCAATTTTCCTACCTGCCTCTGCCTCCTGGTGTGCCATTACAGGTGTACACCACCATGCCTGGCCCCTTCTTTTCCTTATCTAGGAAAGGGTATAATAATAATAATAATAATAGCAATTCATGGACTAAGGCTGTAGCTCAGTAGTACAGTGCTTGCCTAGCATACACAAGGCCCTGCATTCAATCCCCAGTACTGCAAGAAAACAAACAAAAAATTTATCTGACATTATAGTATCTCATAAGCTTATTGTGAAAAAATACTTGTAGGGCACCAAAAATACTTATATGGGGTATGCAGTAAATGCTTAATAAATATCACATAACATTGTTGCTGCAGCCATTGGTGTTATCCTATAGGTCACAGTGATTGGGACACTGCTATTTCAGGGAAGAAGCAGAGTCATGTGTTGGTTATGCTGTCTTCTGTAACATTGTGTTCCCGTTTTCCGTATGAGAAAAGGAGATCTGGAGAAAGTCAGTAACTCCAAAGCTACCTGACCAAGAAGTCATAGTTTGATCTGGCAAGGGCCTTAGCAACCATGAGGTTTGGATCCAGAAAGAAAAGTGAAATTCATCATCCATTTTGTATTTTTCTTTTGCCTATTGAGTCCAAAAATCCCAATGAGGAGCAAAGAGATGCTCTCAGTGCTGAAACTGAGTACCCTCTCACAGTCTGTGTTGGGTTCCATGGCCATTCAGAGTTGACTGGGAAGAGGTTACTGTTCTGAGAACCCTGTAAAGTGTGTGCGCTAGGAAGTGCTACAGAGATGAAAGTTGTAGCCAGCAGGTGCAGGTCACACAATTGTGCAGAAGGCAGATTGGGTGAGTTTCGTCTGGGGGTTCCTGCTGAGGGTTTCCCTGGGCCATTTGGAGGACCTGGGGAGGCAAAGAGGGGCTTGCAGGTGAGGAAAACTGAGGAATCCCAGGAGACTGCCTGCCCTGGCTCTAACTTTCCGTGCTTTCTCTGGCTCTCACCTCTGCTTCTGGGATACAGGGCAAGAGGGAGCAACGTTAAGCTTCACGTCCTCCCTTTCCTTAGAACTGTCCCTTTCTTTGAAGCTTACAGTCAGGCCATGCAGGTGGCAGGAGATACCCCTGGCTGCTGGGTGAGGGTTGTCCATATTGCTGAAGGGCAAAGACAAAGGCTATGGGACCCATATCCTGTGCACCAGATCCCACCTTCCCCCATCTTTAACAGTAGTCATGCCCCATAAAAATCACCCTAAGCCACATCCTCTACTTCCTTTGTCCACTCTCCAGGCCTCCTCTCCTCCTCCAGGGACTCACCTATTGGCTTGGGGACCATTGGGTATCAGGATGTCAGAGTATTCTACTGTTGGGAGGCCTGGACCTCCAAATGGAAAATGGGGCCTGGGTCCTGAACCTGAATGGAGAGGGTCAGACACATTCATCACAGACCTCTTCACACCAAGGACCATTATGGAGGGAAAGAAAAAGCTCTGGGAGAAGAACAAGGAGGGTGGGTGTCCAGGTAGGCATTGGTCACTGTAAATGGAAGGTACACCAAGGACTGTGGCCTCTGAAAGGCAAGTGCTTGAAAAAAAGGTCACATAGAAGCTTGACACATGGTATAATTCACAGGTCACTGTGCCTGGAAGGAAATGCTGAAAACCTGTTAGTAAATTTAAGCCAGCTCAACAAGTAGCAAAGAACTGTGCTCCCTGAGTTGGAATGCTTTGAGGGAGAGTCTAGTAAACAGTGAGATGGGGTAAGAAAACACCAGCAGGTAGTAGGCTCCCAACAAACAATGCTTTAAGTAGCAAAGTTCAAGACATTAGGAAAATTGTGGGAGCAAGGAGGAAGGGGTGAATCTGGAATAGGTTCAGGGGGGAAATGGACCAGGCCCATGAGATAAGTAGAAATGTGGAGAGGGCTGTTTCAGGGGTTGAGCCAAGGTCAGGATGGTGAGGGCAGGAGGCAGGAGGACCAGGATGGTCAGAACAGAGCTCCATTTGCAAGAGGCAGGGCACAGCCTAGACAGCCAACTTTACTCACATTCCAGTCTCTGATGCCCAGACATTGTGGGAACTTTCACCGACTCTTCCTTCTCTTTCTCTTTGTGGCTTTCCTCAAAATCTTTATCTTCCCACCTGCCAGAAGTTCTGTAGGGACAGGGAACCAGTCACAGTTAGGCAAGGGGTACCCCAGCCTGGCCCACCCCTTCATGGGGATACTGAGGAGGTCCCACCCCCTGCCATATCTCCCAGCACTTCAGAGGCTCTGCCTAGGTCACTTAATTCACCTGCACTGGGCATCTGCTGTGCTGCTTTGCACCCTGGCTGAGGTCCCTGATGCCTGGCAGGCCAAGCCTGGAGCCTGGAGTCTTCTAGCTGGGGTCTGGGAATGACAGGGGGTAGATTTGAGGAAAATGGCCACACCTGTGTATGTTTGTGTGTGTGTCTGTTCCCTCCAGCTGCCTGCAAGGAGACATAATGGCCCTAGAGAGACAGAGACTTACCTGATAGAGACAACCCAGGGTGTGCCATTTGTCTCAGAGAATCAGATACCAGAGTGAAGCCCTTTGTTATGTTAAGGTCCCCTAGCAACTCTCAAGCTAGAATTCAGGTTTATGGACCTGGCCAGAGCCTGACCACCACTCCATCCTTCCTAGAACCTTACCTGGCACAGGGTTGATGATGGACCTTGGATGGAGCCTGGATCTTCTGACCCCCAATCTAATTCTCTGACTGTACCAGGCTATTAAATTTTTTTTTCAGTGTTGCGTATCAAACCCAGAGCCTCACACGTGCTAGGCAAGCACTCTATCATTGAGCTATACTCTCAGCCTCAGGCTAATTTAATTTTACCTGCAGATTTATAAGTATGGTGTCCTACTCTTTAAAATAAGAGAACATAAGACTATTAAATGCATGTAATAAAGTATAATTTCAATTCCTGGGGTAGAAGGTTTCCTAAAGAGATCCCAACGTATGAAAGGAGAGGCATTCCAACGACCTAAGGAGAGAGAATGGGAGGTTGAGTGTGGGGAGAGAGAAAGCCCAGGAATGAGGACATGAAGATAGGCAGAGAAAAGCCCCACTAACCTGGATATGGGTGAGAGGGACTTCCTTGGAGCACTATCCCCCATCTTGTGGCCATTTAGGGAATTGCAGCCAAGGACTTTCATGTTTCCACCTCTTTACTCATGACAAAATCCTTGACTGCACCCCTAGGTCTTCACCCAATGGGCTTGTTACCACTAAGCCAAAGTCCTGGGACATCCCTTGTACTGGAGATATAGCACAATCACCATCCACCTCCTTGCCTCTGGGAACGTGCTATGCATCTCACACGCAAGCAATGGACACAGCTGAGCAGTTAAGCATGCCATCCCTAAGAACATCAGCACTGCTTACAGCCTTCTCTGGGAAACCTGTCTCCAGCCCCATCTACTTGTCTCAGGTGTCAGCTTACCTGTGTGTGATCCTGGATTAGCCCCACCTGGGCTAAGTGGGTCCTCATGGCATCTGCCAGCTTGGCACCAGCCGCTCTCGCACAGAATCTGGCTCTTTCTGGAGAGAAGGGAGACCATGGGGGAATGAGGAAGGCCTCATTGCAGTCCTCAGGGAATTGGGAGAGGAAGAAACAGGAAGGAGAGGAGGAAAGGGGGCTTTTCCTCCCCTCTCTTCTACCCCACCCTCAAGCCACAGAGCCCAGAACTGTGGACAGAGACTGTCTCTTCTTGATGTGCCAGGGCCAGCACACATGTGTCCAGTGTATGTTTGAACCATTAGGGAGTGGGAGATAGAGAGAGTGAGGTGGGAATGCCAGCTAGAGAAGGGTTCTGGACGAGGGACACAGGGAAGAGTTAGAGTCTAATATGGAGGGTCTTACCTGACACTGGGCCAGTGCTTCTTTAAAGTACTTCAAGGCCTGGTCATAATGCCCCAGTCTGGCTGCAGCAGCCCCAAGACCCTCATAGGCCTGCCACTGTCCCTTCACGTCTCCTGGGGAAGAGAGCCTGAAAGGTTCTCTCACCTCTCTCTGTCCCATGGACCTTTCCTTCCTGAGGCACCCTCCCCACCCCCCAAGTCCTCCCATCTGCCTCCCCACCAGCCCCAAGAATCTTCAGTCTTTGGGTTCCTCCACCCAAGTCACATGATAGTCCCCTCACTCTTACCAGTGTCTCGGGCAGCTTGCAGTGCATGCAGGTAGTTGTCTCTGGCAGCATTATGGTCCCCCAACTGGCTCAGTGCGAATGCCAGGCTGCCAAAACTCCGACCCTGTTCCCACCGTTGCCCCACAGAGCCTGACAATACAACACACCTGGTCCTAAGAGGAGCTTTTGGTTGCTGTGGCATCAGGACCCCCAGCAAGCAAGAGAGGGTTCCTAGAAGTCCTCATGCCTAGCTTCTGCACATCCAGTAGACTACAGAGGCCTGCGTTCTCCATACCCAGCCTCTTTTCATCCTGAATTTTGGCCCAAATGCCTCCCATGGCTAGGATGAGCCATGCAACAACCTTGTAAGCTAGGCAATGCAGATGTTAATAGTTCCATTTTATATGTGCAGAAACTGAAGCTAAGAGAGGGCAAGTGATTTGCTGCTGTGTCACACAATAATGGGAGAAGAAGCTAGGCTCCACTCCAGGCCTCCTAACCTCCACTTCCCAGTCCCTGGACCCATGACTCTCCACCCTGTCTAGCTGTCCCGTTTCCTGTACCCTGTGCCTGGGCTTCCAGGCACAACATCTGGTCCAAGATCCATCTATCCATGGACCCTGGGGCCTCTGCTGGAACCTTTTAAAATTTCTTGGTCCCAGTTCCATTCTCCAGCCCCTTGGCACCCACCATGCAGCTCTGCCGCCTTCTGGTGAAAATCCCGGGCTTCCTGGTAGTTGCCAAGGGCGTTGTGAGCCATCCCAAGGTTTCTCAGCACTGTAGCCTGCTCTCTTGGTTTCTGGCACAGGGGCAGGGCCTGCAGGAAGGCCTCCACTGCCAGAGGGAACAGCTGGAGCTGGGAGTAACCCAGACCTAGATCATTATAGAGTGGCCCTAGAGGGCAGAGACAGGGTCACTGGTAGCCAAATCAGTAATGAGCTGTATGGGCACAGCCACTATTCCATTCCTCTGGGGTCCCCGAGCCCCTTCCCAAATCCTCAGTGTCACCAGACTTGGTGCTTCCCCCAAACCCACACCTCCTCTGCCCATGACCTCACCAAGCAGTCCCCTCTCAGCGCTCCTCTCAGCAAGCCTCCGGCTTTCCTCCAGCGCCTGTACCACCTCACCCACCCCATGCTGCCCACTCTTCAGCATACACCCTGCTGCAGCACCGAGGGCCAGGGCTGCAGCCTTGGGCCGGCCTGCTTGGGCATAGGCTTGGCTTGCTTCCTGCAGGCAGCGGGCTGCTTGCTCAGGCTGTCCTAGGGCCTGGTAGCAGGCTCCCATTTTTGCCTGAGCTTCCCCCTGGTCACCCTGTGGCTGGTAATGGCCCAGGGCTCTGTGGTACCAGTTCAAAGCTTGAGGTAGGTCCTCAAGGGCATGATAGGCTAAAGCCACATTGAAACACTGGTCACCATGACACCTCCCCTGTGCCTTCTCTTCAGGATGGGCTTGCAGAAGCAGCTCAAGGCCTCTGGCTGGGTGCCCAGTCTCTACATAGGCAGCCCCCAGGTTGAAGGCACAGGCTCGAAGCACAGGAATGTCCCTGGTTCGTGGGGACTTGGAGGCCAGCAGGAAGGCCTTCTGGAAGCTGCTCAAAGCATCATGGTTCTGGCCAGCCTGCAGGGCCCTGTGGCCAGCCCTGGTGAGGGCTTGGATGCTGGCCTCTTGCTGCAGCCACTTTCTTTTCTTCTCTTTCTTCTTGCAGTGTGAGGACTCCAGCTCAGGCTTAGGCTCAGGCTCCCTGAGGACAGCCTCAGGTTTAGGGGAAGACATAGAGCTGACAACAGCAAACAGAGGGATCAGAGTCAACCTTGGCCGGGGGGGCCCCCCCATCCCCCACCACCACCCTCAGCAGGATACCTTGAGGGAAATTCAGCTCTACCCCTGTCCTGGAGTGTCCCAAGGATGTCTCTCTGACATCTCACCTGGCTTTGTCTGTCCCATTGGTCAGCATATTGACTCACACTCTAATTCTTAGTTCTCCTTTGACTCAGGTCAAGTAACAGCTTCCTTCAGAAAGTCCTTTTCATATGTTCAGTCCACAGCACTGAAAAAAAAAAAATTCCCCTTCCTTGCAACCAACTGAGGGCTTCTATTTCCATGGTATAGGTAGCACCTTTTCTTTTCTTCTTTTTTTTTTTTTTTTTTGGTGTGACTGGAGTTTGAACTCAAGGCTAGGCACTTGCAAAGCACGCACTCTACCACTTGAGCCACACCTCCAGTTCATTTTGCTCTGATTATTTTGGAGATGGGGGTCTCATAAACTCTTTGCCCAGGCTGGCCTCCAGCCTCAGTCCTTCTGATATCAATTTCACAAGTAGCTTAGATTACAGGCATGAGCCATCATGCCAGGTCCCACAGCATCTTATGCCTGTATCTTTTTGGCATTTATCACACTGGGTTAGAAATGCTGACTTTTTTTTTTTTTCATTTTTCTTTTATTATTCATATGTGCATACAAGGCTTGGTTCATTTCTCCCCCCTGCCCCCACCCCCTCCCTTACCACCCACTCCGCCCCCTCCCTCTCCCCCCCCCTCAATACCCAGCAGAAACTATTTTGCCCTTATTTCTAATTTTGTTGTAGAGAGAGTATAAGCAATAATAGGAAGGAACAAGGGTTTTTGCTGGTTGAGATAAGGATAGCTATACAGGGCATTGACTCACATTGATTTCCTGTGTGTGGGTGTTACCTTCTAGGTTAATTCTTTTTGATCTAACCTTTTCTCTAGTACCTGTTCCCCTTTTCCTATTGGCCTCAGTTGCTTTAAGGTATCTGCTTTAGTTTCTCTGCATTAAGGGCAACAAATGCTAGCTAGTTTTTTAGGTGTCTTACCTATCCTCACCCCTCCCTTGTGTGCTCTCGCTTTTATCATGTGCTCAAAGTCCAATCCCCTTGTTGTGTTTGCCCTTGATCTAATGTCCACATATGAGGGAGAACATACGATTTTTGGTCTTTTGGGCCAGGCTAACCTCACTCAGAATGATGTTCTCCAATTCCATCCATTTACCAGCGAATGATAACATTTCGTTCTTCTTCATGGCTGCATAAAATTCCATTGTGTATAGATACCACATTTTCTTAATCCATTCGTCAGTGCTGGGGCATCTTGGCTGTTTCCATAACTTGGCTATTGAGAATAGTGCCGCAATAAACATGGGTGTGCAGGTGCCTCTGGAGTAACAGTCTTTTGGGTATATCCCCAAGAGTGGTATTGCTGTATCAAATGGTAGATCGATGTCCAGCTTTTTAAGTGAAATGCTGACTTTTTTTTTGTCTGTCTCTCCCACTAGATTTGGAGCAATTTAAAGGAACATAGTAGATTCTCAGTAAAAGTTTATTGAATGAGATGAAAAAGTTCTGGAGATGGCTGGTGGGGATGGTCACACAAATGTGGTACATCTACTTAATGCCACTGAACTGGAAACTTAAAAATGGGCAAAACAGGGAATAGCTTGGTGGTAAGTGCTTTGCCTAGCATTTGTACGGCCCTGGGTTTGATCCCCAGCTTTGGGGGGGAAAAAGCTTAAAATGTTAAGTTTTATGTCATATCTACTTTACCATAATAAAAAATGTTTATGGAATGAGCAAAGAAAAACTAGCACACACAGAGCCTTTTCCAGCACCTCCTTCACACTATGCTGCCACATACTACCGCCCACTCACAATTTTGTTAACCCTGTTGTCTAATCCAGTTCAGGTCAGTGAGGTCCTGCTGTGTGCCAGGAGCCATCCCTGGCTCCAGGAAAATGGTTCTGTCTCTACATTTACTGTCCCCTCCCTACTTCTGAGGAACTTCATTCTCCCCATCTCCTCTGCTTTCTGTCTGCAGGCTGGTTCCAGTCCCCCACATCCTAATCCCAGAGCCCTCTTAACACAAATACATTCATCTCATTAGCATGTGTACCCTGTTGGTATCCTTTCCTCTCGAAAGGCAAAGCCCTTTCACACTTTCCTCTTGGGAGACAAAAAAAGGAGTGGAAAAGACCCCGGCATTGGCATTGGGTTCTCTTCCTCCTCTTCCTCCTCCTCCTCCTCCCCATTTCCCTCTTCTCCTTCTTTGAGACAGGATCTCACTATGTACCCCAGGCTGGGCTCAAACTCAAGCTCCTCCTGCCACTGCCTGCAAAAGTGCTGGTATTACAGGTATGCACTACCACACAGCCCCCCTTCCCTTTATTTTTAGGAGGGCAGGCAGACAGAAGTAAGTGATGTATTCTCTTTTTCAAGAAGTTCTCTCTGGGACTAGGAATTTAGCTCAGTAGTAGAGTGCTTGCCTAATAAGCGTGAGGTCCTGGGTTTGATCCCTAGCACTAAGAAAAAAAGTTCTGTTTGCTTCTAAAAACACCCAGAGATCTGACTTTTCAACCTGGAGGCATTCCTGGCGACCCTCACCCAGTTTTGGGGCCCCACCGCAGACACCTACCTCTTTAGCTTTTCTCCGTAGTTGGCTTTCTGGAATGGTTCCTCTGGCTTAGGTTACTTCCCCTAGCTGTTAGCTCATAGACCCCAGGGTTACCAGACAACTGAGTACCGCCCTCTACTCTCAGGGAATTCTTTGAGTGACAGCTAAGATGGCCTGTCTTAGTGCTGAACCCTGATGGGTGCTTGGACACAGGCACTTGAGGTCTATTCCCTTTCCTGCCCTGCTGCTGCGTCACTCCTACAGACATGGCCCCCCTGGTTCCTCACTTAAAGGAATAAATCAAAACTTCATGGGGCTGGTTATTAATTATCCTCAAAGATCATCTATCCTATCCCTTCATTTCACATGGGAAGTCACTAAGGCTCAGAAAGCAGGTGTGACTTGTGTAAGGTCACAGAGCAGTCATGTAGCTGGGATTAGACTTCACATTTTCCGATCAAAGGTAATTAGTCTAAGGTTCCATCTGCTGCAGGGTAATGGAAAGCTTTAATGGGCTTGGGTTGTACCGGAAATGGACCCTCTCCTACATACACACATGCTCTTCCATACTGTGCCTCTGTGTGGTAGTTTCACATTTGGAAACAAGGTAAAAAGGTTGATAGTCATAAAAGGGCTGGAGATCAGAAGAGCCTCCCTGTCCCTGGACTCTTTTTCTAGCTCCACGGATCTGCAACCTCCAGGTTCTGCTTAATGAGAGGACAGCAGGCCCCAGTACCCCAGGGACCTAATGACCCAACTCCACAAGGGTGGCCTGCAACAGAAGCAAATGTCCTCATTTACCTAGAGAAAGTCCTTTTTTAAGTAGAGAGGTCTTTGCCAGGAACAAACTTATAAGGAACTGGATGGGCTCACCAGCATTTGCCCTGCAGCCTTGCTAAGTGCCTGCTGTGTGCGGGCAGGGTGCAGGGGTGCCTGCAGCTTCTGCACATGTGCAAAGCCTTCAGAATGCTACCATAGCCTGTCAAGGCCAAATACACAGTTCAAGTGGTTCTTCACTCAGTAGGCGTCCCTTCAGGAGACAGGATGATTTGGGGAGAGGGCAGAGACTGAAGCGGTTCTCACCAAGGTTTCAATGACCTCCTGATAATCTGGTGATCATTTCTGAATCTTTTTTTTTTTTTTTTCTGCCTCCTGAGGAGCTAGGATTGCAGGCGTGAGCCACCAGCGCCCGGCTTAGGGCTTCACTCTTGCTATGCAGGTGCTCTACCACTTGAGCCACGCCTCAGTCCCTGAATCATTTTCTTGTTTGTTTCTCTGTTATATCCACCACATCCTTCCTCATGGGTTTCCATCACTTACTGTGTCTTGGTTCTTCCTTTCCTCTCTGACAATTACTTTTCCATCTCTTTTTCTGGCTCTCCTGTCTACCTTCTAAATGCTAATGTTCCCCCAACACACTGCTCTTTGCCATTTTCTCTTCTTCTTCTTCTTTTTCTTCTTCTTTTTTTTTTTTTTTGGGCAGTACTAGGACTCAAACCCAGGGCCTCATGCTTGCTAGGCAGGTACTCTACCACGTAAGCCACGCCATTTGTCCCATTTTCTCTCTCTCTCTCTCTCTCTCTGGTACTGGGGCTTGAACTCAAGGCTTTCACCTTGAGCCACTCCATCAGCCAAATTTTTTGTGATAGGGTTTTTCAAGATAGGGTCTCTCAAACTGTTTACTCCAACTGGCTTTGCACTGTGACCCTCCTGATCTCTGCCTCCTGAGTAGCTAGGATTATAGGCATGAGCACCTGGCCCATTTTCTCTCCTTTATATACTCTTCCAAGAACATTTCATCCACTCCTCTGATTTTAATACCACCAGTAAGCCAATAATTTCTTAATTTTTAAAAATATAACTAAGTATACCTATAGGATTAACTTATCCAAGTGAAGCTCATATTCCTCATGTCTACAGTGTTATTAATATCCTAATCCACTGACCTAGAGACCCAGAAGAAACCTCAGTTCCTTCTCCAGCTTTTAGTCTCAGCCTAATGGTTCTACCTTTGAAATCCTTCTCCAGTGTATTCTCTTTTCTGTAATCTCATGGCCATGCCCTTGGAGGCGGTACTGTATATAGTGGCTATGAACTCAAGCTTGGAATGGGACTATCCTGTTTAAATCTTAGCTCTACTAGTTATTAGCTGTGTGACCCTTTTTTGCTAGTTTGTGTTTTGGTGATACTGGTGTTTAAACTCAAGGCCTCATGCTTGCTGGGAAGGTGCTCTACCTCTTGAGCCATGCCCCCAGCCATAGCTGTGTGACCTAAGCCTCAGTTTTTTCATGTATATTTTGAAGATTAAATAAGATGGCTTTTCTAAGATGACTCTAAATACAGTGTCCAGCATATAACAAGCACTCAATACATATTCAAATGTGTTAGTATATAACGTGGTAGACAAGAAATACAACTCTGCTCAGTTTCCCTATTATTATTATTATTATTGGTGGTGGTGGTGGTACTGGGGTTTAAACTCAGGGCCTATAGTTTGTGGGGTGGGGGGCGGGGGTGCTCTACCACTTGAGCCATGTCCCAGACCTCAGTTTCCCTATTGTACTGGGATGGTGGAAATAATGTGAGTCAGTTTGAGGATTTGCCCTTTCTTTTCCCCCAGTGTAGAGTACATGTGGGGGGAGATATATTATGTTAGACTTGAGAGGGGAGGCCCATCTGGTTGTCAGCCAGCTATTCACAAAGATTTCCACTGACGCCTTTCTTCTCATTTACCTGGCCCTTTCAGACTCATGTCTTTGCCCAAGCAGACTAACTCATTAGGAACTTCTTTTCCCATTCAGTCAGTGAACTTCTGCCCAGCTGTGTAAGGGCGTATATGCCCGGCTCATTATTGCAACTGTTCTTCTCAGGGTCATGTACTTCTAGGAGCTTTCCTAGGAAGCACGAAATGTGTCCCTATTGCCAGGAGCAACATCTAGGCTCTTGATACTTCTTGCAGCTGATGAGAAGCAAGGGGAGTCCCTTCTGATCTTCAAGAGACTAGCCACTATCTTCAAACTTTACTTTTCCCAGTTTTGTCTCAGCCTTGGGCCTCTCCTTCCTACAAAAGTTCTAGGTTTAAGTATTTTCTGCTTTTTGCCCCTTCATATTTCTCCTGAGGCTATAAGCCTAGGCTGCCCAACTGCTTGAATGGAGTGTCAAGGAAGCCTAAAAGGAGAAATACCAGACGAGGGACACCTATCAGAAAATACTACTAAAAACTGAAGCTGGGTGCTGGTGGCTCACACCTGTAATCCTAGCTACTCAGGAGGCAGAGATCAGGAGGGTTGCAGTTCCAAGCCAGCTCAGGCAAATAGTTCTCAAGACCCTATCTCACTCAAAAATACCCATCACAATGTGTTTAATGTATTTTGATCAAATTCACCCCTCTATTACTTTTTCTTGCCTTCCCCCCGTTATTTACAACTTTTAATGGTTTTCATTATTTGCATATGTCATATGTAGGAAAATGGACAGAACTGGAGATCATTGTGTTAATCAAAATAAGCCAGATTAAAAAATAAAAGTGTTGCATGTTTTCTCTTAAAAAAAAAAAAAAGAATACCCATCACAAGAAGTGATGGTTGAATGGCTCAAAGTGTAGGCCCTTAGTTCAGCCCCAGTACCACAAAAAAGAAAGAAAAAGAGAGAGAGAGAGAGAGAGAGAGAGAGAGAGAGAAGAAAGAAAGAAAGAAAGAAAATATACTAAAAGCTGAGCTGGTGACTCATGCCTGTAATCCTAGCTATTCAGGAGGCAGAGATCAGGAGGATCTATCTTGAAAATACCCAAAACAAAACAGGGCTGGCTGAGTGGCTCATGTAGTAGAGTGCCTGCAGCCCTGAGTTCAAACCCCTGTACTACCAAAAAAAGAAAATATACTAAAAATATTTTTCAGCATAGTTCTTATAATTATCTTTTATTAGTGTAGACTGTTATTATCTCACCCCTGTGCTACTGCAATAGCTCCTTATTGGTCTTTGTCCCCACTCCAAGCCCATGCTTTTTTTAAAATATAAATCTGGCTCTGACATAAGTCTAAAGGGTTCATTGGCTGGTGACTACTCTCCAGACCCCATCTCAGTGCCTTAGCATAGTGCCCAAGGTGCTGTGGGAGCTGGCCTGGCCTTCCAATCTTCCTACCTCTCCCTGGCTGACCTTTGTTCTCTCCACTAATAAACTGAGTTTAATTTCTTATCTCATCTTGCTCTTACACATGCTATTTGCACTAGCCCGAATGCCTCTCTCATTCAATTTGGTAAATTCTCCTTCACTTTTCACCCCAGATCAGCTGTGAGTTCCATTAAGAAATCTGCCTGCCCTTCACTGTAATGATCAGTGCATCACTGCTCTCTAAATTATTTATCCCTTGAGTCAGAACAGCAAACTCCTTTAAAGCATTAACTGCTCATCTATCTCTGCATCCATCACCTTGTTCACTGCATGGCTCCAAGTAGGCCCACAACTTAGCAAGATCCAAGAACACTATGGGAAGTGGAGCAAGTTAATGGGAAGACTAGGGAGAAATGACAGAGCCTAGGGCGGGGCAGGGACTACTTGAAAAAACCCGGTTTGATAGCCAATGGGCCCAGGAGGGACAGCAAACCCAGAAACCGCCGAACGGTGGAGCGAACCACCTGGGCGGCTTTCCTTCGCGGCCCAGAACTACCAATCCCAGGATTCCACGCAAACCGGACCGGAAGCGTCCTGTCCCAGAGCTGCGACCGTGAGGGGCGGTGGCCCATCGGCGGGAGATTCAAACCTGGAAAGAGGAACATGGAGCGAAGAGGAGCGGGCCTGGGCCGGGCGGCCTGTGAGTGTCAGGAGGGTCCAGCAGGGGTTTCGCTGGTGGGGGGATTGGCAATCGCGGGAGAGATGGGGCGGTGGGGCTGTTCACTGGGGAGGGACCACCAGTCCTGGCGGCTGAGGGCGGAGAATTGTGGGCAGTAAAACGCCCCTCGCTGCCGTGCTTTCATGCCATGCGTTCAAAGCTTTCAAAGAGTTTTCTCCCTCACTCCCAAATTCTGGAAGTCAGGAGAATGTAGGTGGTCTAGATGGCCTGACTCCTAAAGGACCTGGGGAACCCTTGGGCTTTGAGATGCCCTCTAACTTCAGAGTGCCTAAATTACCTTTGCCGCTTGTTTAAAGTACAGTTCTGGAGCTCTTTCCCAGAGCTTCAGCTCCAGTAGGTCTGAATTGGAGCCCATAATTTGCATTTGTAACAAGCACTGCTGTGCTTCTTTAAGTGTTGATGCAAGTAGTCCTCGAGCTCCACTTTCAAAACCCGGCTTTAGAAAGATAAACTGGGTGGCAGGATTGGAGGGCAGAAAGGTTTCCATCTGATAGTCTGAATGAAAAGCAAAACCTGCTCCTCCTTCCCTCCCTCTTCCCCCCTTTCCATGAGGATTCAAAGAGCAAAGTCTGTACCCACCCACCTCTTGAAGGAATGATAGCTCCAACCTAAGAAGGGAAGGAAGACTGTGTTTTGTGGGAGGTTTTTGAAACATTCATGTGTGTGTGTACAAAGTCCCGCCCATCTCTCTCTCAGTCCTCCATTCATAACTCTGAGGTGATGTCATTCACTTACTGGTTTATTTTCCATGCTTAACAACCAACACTTGTTCCTTGTACACACCCCTCAGAGGAACCAGTAGATTTCTGCAGTTGAGCAGCACTTTCAAATCTGTACTTAGAGATGTGTGTATATGGGTGTTAACTTTCATAACTGTCAATTCAAGTAAGTCCTGTCCTCCCTCAAGTCATACTGCAGGATATGCAATGTGAGGCTATAGGATAAAGAGTGAGAGTGCCATTAAGTGCTGAGTCAAAGACAGATTGACTAAGCTGTCTCTGTAAGTCCCCTGAGCTTGCAGGGTATGTGTAGCTTTCTCTCCTCCTGTGTGTTTTATTTTATTTTGTCTTCCCTAAGGAGAATAGAGATAGGGAAGAGGGAGGCTATGGCTAAGGCAGAGTAGGAATGCTGTCTCATTTAAAGGATTATCTGTTCTTGAGTTTGGAAGTCAGAGTGTTGTCTGCATTTTATTTGAGATTTTCCTCAGATTGTGAAGGGATCTGTGTGAACTTTTAAAATTCTCTTTTAATCCCAAGTGAGTGGAGGCAGTCCCTGGTTGGATTGCCTTTCCTCTCCTTTCCACATATTTTTTGTTTTTCCAGAGTTGGGGATTGAACCCAGAGCCTGGTATATGCTAGGCAAGTGCTCCACCACTGAGCTACATCCCCAGCCCCTGTTCATTCTTTAAAACCTAGCTCAAAGGTAGAATCCTTTGCTTTGTCTGCTGCTTCCATAGATCTTATTCCTGGGATATAATCACACTTATCACTTTAGGTTGGAGTTATTTATTTATATGTATTTTTCTCTTTAGAAATAATCTCTGTATTTTTATTTTTTTTGATGGTGGTACTGGGGTTTGAACTCAGGGCCTCACACTTGCTAGGCAGGCATCTACCACTTGAGCTACTCTACCAGCTCCAATCTCTCTATTCTTAACAACAGAGGTCCACTACTGTTGGAAAGGAGGTATTGGATAAATAAATGACTGTTGCATGATAAGTCCTGGTTAGTTCTGTTAGCCATGCCTCTGAGGCACTGACTAGGACAAGAGTTAGAGTCTAATCAGGAATAAGACAAAGTAGCTAAACTCCCAGTCAAGGAAGGTTCTGGACACCTCTGCTGGGCAGCACTGAGGGAAGGCACTGAGGGTAGACTTGGGAAGGAGACAGGACAGGAAGATGGCTGCAGAGGAAAAAGAAATGCCTCCAGCACAGAAGGAGGCCCCCTGATAATGGGCGTTCTGAGAAGAGGAGTTGGGACATATAGGAAGTACTTCCAGTCTCTGAGTAGGGGTGCCTAGGAAGTCTTAGAAAGCAGCTTCAGCAGGGTGCCAGTGGCTCATGCCTGTAACCCTAGGTACTCAGGAGGCAGAGACTTGGATCTGGCTGATCCACGTTAGCCCACACAAATAGTTCACGAGATTCTATCTCAAAAAACCCATCACAAAAATAGGGCTGGTGGAGTGGCTCAAGGTGAAGGCCCTGAGTTCAAGCTCCAGTACCACAAAAAAAAAAAAGAAAGAAAGTAGCTTCAGTCTAATGCTCCCTTCCTTCACCTTCTCCCATCACTCCTCAGATGAACGTCTCACAGCTGAGGAGATGGATGAGCAGAGGCGGCAGAATGTCGCCTATCAGTACCTGTGCCGGCTGGAGGAAGCCAAGCGGTGAGCAGAGTCCAGAAAGATGGACTCTTTCTGGTCTGCCTTTCTACCTTCCCATCCCAGGCACCGGCCCCAAAGCTAATGTAGTGGGACAAGGGTCTGTTCTGTGGAAAAATTGAATTGAAATAGCATCTTCTGTTTTACAAGGCAAATCCCAAACATTACATCCTCTTATTCCCTGACATCCTTCCATACCTATCCCTAAAATCTATGGGTCTTTGCTTAAATAACCACAGTGTCATTATAATATCCAACTAAATTATCTGTAAATCCCTGGAAAATCAGTACTCAGGCCATTTTCACAATTCTCCTGATTGTCTAAAATCTGTTCTTTCAGTTTTCAAATAAGGATTTAAAAAAAGCTCACACATTATACTTGCCTCTTAAGTCTTCTTTAATCCAGAGCAGTTCGCCTCCCCTTTTTCGTTTTTTATGTCATTGACTTGTTTAAGAAACTGGATCACTTTTCCTGTAGAACATCCTACATTCTGACTTTATTTGCTTCCTTGTGTCATTCAACTTGTTCCTCTAAACCCCATATTTCCTATAAATGGATGTTGGCTCTAAAGGTTTGATTAGATTCAGGTTCAACATTTTTGACAAGAAGACTTCATTGGTGGTGATGTGTTTCATATCACATCTCATAGGAGGAATACAGTGTCTGCTTGTCCCACTTTTAGTGACACTAGGTTTGATCTGGGAGTTCAGGTGGTAACTTGGTACTCTCATAAAATTCCCCACTAACCTTTCATCTAATGCCTTCATCCATCATTGTTCCTCACTAAAATCTATTATTTTATTGGGAATGCAAAATAACTAGGGTTTTTTTTGTTGTTGTTTTCAATATGCTCAGGCCTATATGCAAAATGATTGTTTTCTAATTCTGATGTTTCTTCTTCATTACTTAGCTGAATTTTTTTTTCCTAAAAAAAAGAACTTCATCATTTTAGAGTTATTTGATTACCCTGAAATTCAGTTTGTCCAAGAAGGGCAGGATAAATACTTCTTTCCTTGTAACCTGAAGTCTTTTTTTTTTTTTTTTTTGCAGTACTGGGGTTTGAACTTAGGGCCTTGCACTTGCTAGGCAGGCATTCTACTGCTTGAATAATGTTTTCCCAAAAAGTAGGTAGGATGGAGAAGACAGGAAATCAGGTGTCTGTGGCAGGTATGGCATGAAGCAAGATATAGCTGGTTCTCTTTGGAAAGAGACCCCAATATGTAGGGAAACCTAGAGATTCTGTTTGGGGAGCCCATATTTTTGCCCTTATATAACCACCAGCAATAATGATACTTTTATATTCAGAAAGTTTTCATAATCATTAGGTCATTTGACCCTTGCAGCTGCCCACTGAAACAGGAAGTACAGTGGGGTGTTGTCCTCATTTTGTAGATTATGCAACTGAGGCTTAGAGGTGAAGTGGGGGAAATAGATTGGAAAGTGGGCCTTCTGATTATAAGAGCTGTGAACGTTCTGTCCCTTTGTGCTGTTCCCCTTCTATCAGTCCATGAGATCTCTACTACCCTCATCACCATCAAATCTGAGTTAGGAAACATGATCATTCCAGCAGATGTGAACTTTCTGTACCAAGTTTTCAGAAAATAATGCAGAATGAGAGAAGTAGCAGAATCAGTTTGGCTGAATAGTCAGACAGGTAGCCAAGAAGAATGAGAGGTTCTGTTATATAACAGGGTAATAGTCTGTTTAGGCATCATTGAAGATGGGCAGGAAAGATTTTCTGGGGTGGTTTGGGGCTGAGGGTCAGCCAGTCTAGGCATTTGAGGCAGTTTGGGAAAAGGGGGTAACAGTTAGGAAATAGGCAGAGAGAGAAGTTAGGGTTAGGGCAGGAATAGAAGGTGTGTGTTTATAGGTAGGAGATGGCCAGGGGCCACTGGGGGTGGGGGGAGAGGAAGGGCGGGTCCTGCCAGAGTGAATGAGAGGGCGCTCTTGTACTCTCAGATGGATGGAGGCCTGTCTGAAAGAGGAGCTTCCTTCCCCAGTGGAGCTGGAGGAGAGCCTCCGCAATGGAGTGCTGCTGGCCAAGCTGGGCCACTGTTTTGCACCCTCTGTGGTACCCTTGAAGAAGATCTATGATGTGGAGCAGCTGCGGTACCAGGTGAGCATAGGATACTCTACCTTCTAGTTTCTTCCTCTCAAACTACTCCTTCTCCTCACAGGTCTGCGGGTGGGTTGACCATATCATTTATTGTCCAAATCTGGGCACTTCTGATGATGAAGGGGAGTGCTATTAACCATCACACTGGGACAACAGATACTAATCAGTATCTTCCAGTCAGACAAGTGTGTACTATACTTAGCATCAGACCCACTTACTAGGTAGACTTTAAAATGCCTCTGAGATGTGAACTTACTACAGATTTTCTTACTCATAGTCTATACTGTGAGGCCCACAGTATAGAGTGGGGTTTGCCACTCTCAAGGGTCTTCGTGGGCATGTATCCTTCTTTCTGTTCTAGCTAACCCAAACCTCCTTGCCTCCCATCCCAGATCAGACTCCAACTTTCTAGGAAGCCTTAGTGGACTGTTAACCCCACCCCTGTACCATCCTTCCAAATGTCTAGTTGGGTCATCCATTCCTGGTAGTTTCTGTCTGTCTCACTGTTTCTCTGCCCAGGTTGGGGTGGATGGAAGGGGAGGGGAAGCCACAGGGTAATGTCCTCTGGCTCCCCTCTTGAATCTTTAAGATGTGGTCTGGGCTCTTTCCATAGGGAGTAGAACTGTAGAAATAAACTTTCTCTCCTTCCTTTTCAGGCAACTGGCTTGCATTTCCGTCACACAGACAACATCAACTTTTGGCTATCTGCAATAGCCCACATCGGTCTACCTTCGGTAACACTGGGCCCAAAGATTGGTGTTCATCTTTACCTTTCACCAGCCCCCTCCACTCCATACCCTCTGCCTTCCTGGATCCTTTAGCCCCAATCTTCATGTGTGTTCTAAGCTAATTTATTCTATGAGAACAATTCCTTGGGACTGTGTGTCTTTGAATTAGATTACTTGGTCTCTGCCTCCACTTCCCTGTGGATAAAAAGAGGTAAAGGCCCTCTGGTCTGAGTTGCATCACTGCCAGTATGCAGTGTGACCCTTATGTAATGCAGGAGATGGGACTCATATCAGCCAACAGTCTTTACACCAGAACTTCAGAGTGAAGCAAAGACATACCACATTCCTGGGTGGTAGACTTCAAGTTGGAAGCCTAGGCCCAAGACCCCAACTGGATACATGATGCATATTCTTTCCCTCTATGAACCCCAATTTGTTTCTCATTGGGGTTAGTAATTCCTGCCCTGTCTACCTTAGAATGTTGGCAGGAGGATCACATTGTCTGTGTCTTTACAAAGGGTTGTAAAGAATTATACAAACTAAGGTGTGATAGGATTCTGCAATGGTTTTCTTCCTTGTAGAAGGGAACCTAAATGTAGTCAAGGTATGTTGAAGTTAGGCCTCATTACAGTCACTAGGTGACATAAGAAGAAATATCTGGGGCAACACTGTTCTTAGAGTAGCCCCCATTGATCAGAGGCCTCTGGCTTGGAGACAGGGATGACAGGCCCTGATGCCTTTGTGGTCCTTGGCAACACATGCCTCATTTGGCCCTCCATGGGAGTATGGCCAGCTCCCCAGCATTTCACCTTTCTGGTGAGACTCTCAGGTGACAGGCTCTGACTCACTGTCACTCTAAATGAGGCCTGTTTTTCCTTGAGGATATAACTTGCATTCAGTAGCCACTTAGCCTCATCTCATGTTTAGTTAATCCAGGGCACCATGTGACTGTGTGGCTGTGGCTGAGTCTTGCCTTATTTTGTGTCCCCACTGCCTTTTTTCTGGTTTTTTTGGCAGTACTAGGGTTTGAACTCAGGGCCTCACACTTGCCAGACAGGCACTCTACACTTGAGCCACTGCACAAGCTCTCCCACTGCCTTTTTTTTTACATTGGGATGACTGGAAATGGTTGGGGAGACTAACTTAGAAGCTCTAAGCAATGGGAGTACACAACTCAGGTTAGATAGGAAGACACATTGCTTGGCCTTCTCTTACTTGTTGCTGCTTAAAGGTCTCTAATGACAGTAACTGACTGGTTTCTCCTCTAGACTTTCTTCCCAGAGACCACAGACATCTATGACAAGAAGAACATGCCCCGGGTGATTTACTGCATCCATGCTCTCAGGTGAGAGACCCCAAACTCTTGTCATCCTGGTTCATCTACGTGGATATAACCAACAATCAACAGCAACAAATGCACCAGGCGGGTGGGTAGACCACAGTGAGGAGAGTGAAGGTTTAGGCTTACATGTATATGTTTAAATATGTGTGGGCACATCTATGTGTGACCCCTGTGAGTGAAAGGAAAGGCAGGCAGGGTGAGGTCTTTAGCCTATGACTGGGGTATAAAGGGATCGGAGCAGGACCAATCGAGAGTGTCCCATGTGAACCACTTAATGCTAATGGGGGTAGCTTCTTAGTCCTACTCATAGCCAGTCTTCAGCAGCTTAATCAGGGAAAGTGACTGGCCACTTCCCGTGCCTGCTATGTCATCTCTTCCTTTGTTTCCCATGTCCTTTTATGCCTCCATTCCTGGGCTCAGCAGGTCTCTGCTTGCTATATTTTTCCTACCGTCATGTGTCCTTCTCTGTGAACCCTTCCTGAGCTCTGCAGGCCTCCCACAGCATCTTAGTTCCCTCTGTAACTCTTGCCTTAGAATGATGAATGTTAACATATCTCCCTGTGACTTGGGGCAGGACTGAGTGGTCTTCATCTCTGAGTCCTCATGCTCTGTCCTACAAACCCATTGTGGACAGAATGTTAAAATGAATAGATCCTAGTGCTTCCCAATGCCTTCCATTCTTTCCTAGTCTGTTCCTCTTCCGACTGGGATTGGCCCCTCAGATACATGATCTGTACGGGAAAGTGAAATTCACAGGTAAGCCCAGCTCCTTCCCCATCCACCAGTCTGGATAGGATTGTCGGGGTTCTGGGCCTGATGAAAGGTACTTTATCATTGCAGCCGAAGAACTCAGCAATATGGCCTTTGAACTGGCCAAGTATGGCCTCCAGCTGCCTGCCTTCAGCAAGATTGGGGGCATCTTAGCTAATGAGCTGTCGGTGGATGAGGCTGCAGGTAGGAGAGGACTCTGCCCTGCCCGGAGTGGATGTGGGAGAGCTCCAAGTCTCACAACACTTGGATGTGCTCTAACCATCTCTAATGTCCACAGCAGGGTGATCAGGCTATTGGGCTTGCCTGGCCCCTGAGGACACAAGAGAGAGTGGTATCAAAGTGATCTACACTGGCCGTACCCTGGTCTGGAGTCTTTCTGGCCTACTGACCTTGTTTCCATGCCCTCTCCCAGTCCATGCAGCTGTTCTTGCCATCAATGAGGCAGTGGAGCGAGGGGTGGTTGAGGATACCCTGGCTGCCCTGCAGAATCCCAGTGCTCTTCTGGGGAATCTTCGGGAGCCTCTGGCAGCCATCTACCAGGAACTGCTGGCCCTGGCCAAGATGGAGAAGGCTGCCAATGCCAGGAACCATGTAAGGAGGAGTCTAGGGGTACAGGGGCAGAAAAATTGAGTGGCCTGGAAAGTTTCAAGTAAAACCAGGACACTGATCTATCTTGCCTTAGGTTCCAAATGTGCTTCTTAGTGAAACTGTAACTTGTCAGTAATTTTAGAGAAGTAGAAGAACTCAGAAGAAGAGGTTCTGCGGGGATCTTCAGAGAGGTCTGAGAGAGGCTCTGGATTATGGAACAGGATAAGATTAGACTGGAAATTCCAAATGTTGGTTTGGTGTAACTGTGTCAGTACTAGGGGGTTAGACCCCATGATTGCCTCAGAGTTCCAAGCAGGCTGATCTTTGGTCCTGGGAGGCTCTCTAGAAGAAGAAATGGTTATAGACAAGGAGAAAAAGATTACATTGGTTTTCCTCTCAATATAGTTTTTGCAGGATGACAGAGAAGGCCAGGACATCTATGACTACTACCTCACCCAGGCTGAAATCCAGGGCAACATCAACCATGTCAATGGTAAGAGAGGCAGGCCAGAAGGGGTGGGAGTGCTCTCAGGGTAAGCCCCTGACCTGGGGAGTTTGGGGGTGACTTACACAGCCCTAATGGCATTGCTGGGCCAGCTCTTGCCTTAGAGAAAGATTAGAACCTAAGGATGTGTGCTCTGCTATCTGGCCATCAATGGAGAAGTGGTCCCTGCTGGGAGGCTTCTGTTTGAATGGAGATCCATGGAGAGGACAGAGGCAAAGGAGCAGGCCTTTTGGCTTTTGGTGTTAGGGGGGAGTTTAACTAGAGTCCTTCAAAAAGGGATCATAGCTAGGCATGGTGGTATATACCTATGATCACAGTATTCAGGAGGCTAGGGCAGGACAGACAGCTTGAAGACTCAAAATGGGAGGGCAAGCCAGGTGTGGTAGTGTACACCTGTAATCCCAGCTACTAGCGAGGCAGAGGCAGAAAAATCATGAGTTCGATGTCAGCCCTGGTAAAGGTAGCAGCAAAACCCTGTCTCAAAAACAAAATAAAAGGTAGCTCAAGTGGTAGAGCACTTGCCTAGCAAGTGCAAGGCCCTGAGTTCAAAACCCCAGTACCACAAAAAAACAAAACAAAATAAAAGGCTGGGAGCATAACTTAAGTGGTAGAACGCTTGCCTGGCATGTAAAAGGCTCTGGGTTCAATCCCCAGCACCTACAGGAAAAAAAAAAAGGGCATTTGCCTGTTATTGTCAGAATATCCTCTGCATCTGAGGTAGTGAGATGGAAGTCTGTAAAGGCCATAATGAAGAATTTGGGCTGTATCACATTCACATGGGCCCAAGAATCTAGAGGGGCTGGATGGGGGTAACTCTGGATAGACAGGGGAAGGACAAAGCATATTCCCAGGACTGAGCTGCAGAGGGTAAGAGGTGGGCTTTTGCACACCATTCATCATAGAGTCTTGGTCTTTTTCAGTCCGTGGAGCTCTAGAAGTTGTTGATGACGCCCTGGAAAGACAAAGTCCCGAGGCCTTGCTTGAGGCCCTTCAAGATCCTGCCCTGGCCCTGCGAGGGGTGAAGAGAGACTTTGTTGACTGGTACCTGGAACAGCTGAGCTTAGACAGAGAACACAAAGCACAGGTCAGGCTCTATCTTTTCTGTGCCACCTGTCCTGTTTGTTGGTGGGGTCCAAGAGGGCCTCTTACTCAGGTATCACTACTGTATTCAGCAAGTGCTGCCTACATCCTTAAACAGTTAAATCACCCCAGAGCCTAGTGAACTAAACTGATCAGCTTCTGCCCTCTGAGAGTCCCTTTGACTGGTTGGGAGGGAGGCCCACAGGTAGTAATATGCTTGCCCATTGTTAAATTGGGGCCTTGACTTACCAATTTTATTATCAATGCTTTGACTCTCTCTGAGAGAGCATGTGTTATATATGTGTTGTCTATGTTGTTATTTGTTTTTTGGGGCAGTAATGGGGTTTGAGCTCAGGGCCTTGTGCTTGCTAGGCAGATTCTGTATTACTTGAACCATGCCTCCAGTCCATATGTTGTTATTTTAAATAATTGCTTGGGTAAGAAAAGTACAAGTTGGGTTAATAGAGATGGGTGGGCCAGGCCATTCTGCTAAAGGGAGAGGTGGCTGGGTGGACCTGGAACTCATGCTGGCAGCTCTCTTTTACTGTACTTCTTTCTTTCAGGAGCTGGGCCTGGTGGAGCTTCTAGAAAAGGAGGAGGTCCAGGCTGGTGTGGCTGCAGCCAACATGAAGGGTGAACAGGAGCAAGCCAGTAAGTCATCTCTAGGCCTGAGATGCCTTGCTGGTTCTTAGAAGAGCATCCCACCACTTGACTGGCTTATATGTCAAGCAAGGCAAACTGTTCCCCAGTTTCTAGGCCAGACAGAAGATTTCTCCCCTCACATACTCTGCCTTCTTACTAGCTGCCTAGAGTGACACTACAGATAAGTTTTTTAAGGCCTCAGAAATAATGACATATTAGTACTGCACTGGGATGGACTCCTGAGCAGGCAGTTTTCTTTCAGGTAGTTCACTTGTAATTTTGACAGTTTTGACCTGCTTGAATTTTTTTGGCTTCTGAAATGTGATTTTTCAGGTGAGAAAGAAACTCATTTTCATAACTCAGTCTTCTTTAAAAACATTACACACAAATATAATCCTGTATTCAAGACTTCAAGTTAGTCATCTGTCCAGCAAGAGTGAAGAAAAATAGAGCACTCAGGTCCACTGCAGTGGCCTGTGGACACTAGACCTGTTAACAGTTGCTCTACTCAGTCTTGAATTGCTGTCAGGTTTTAAGGTTGCTCAGTAACCATTTACCTTTGTGTAACAGCCTTCTGATGCCAGCTCAAGGTAGCCTCCAGGCCACTCCTGGCTTCTGGCTAGAAGCTTCCCTTATCAGCTCACTTCATTCCCAATTGCCAGAGTAATCTCTCAAGCACAGATCTGATCTTATCTGCCTTTTTGAACATCTTCAGATCTTCCTCAGTTCTTCATTATTTATCTTATGTCTTGGCCTGGCAGATGAGCCCTTTCCAGGGTTCTCCCCCTGACTCCTATTCACATTCCACCCAGCTTAGCTGAGCCAGATAACCTGTTCTTCCTTGATTGCCCCACCCCATCCCAACTCCCAGCCTTTCCCAACACCAGGCTCTGGACCTCTGGATTGCATTTCCCCTACATTTTCACCTGTGGGAGGCAGGTGAAAACATCTCCAGAGCTATATCAAAGGCTTCTCTTTGAAGTTTTCCTGTTCTCAGCCAGAATCCCTCCTCCTCTGCATTGCATTTTACCTGGAGGAGGCGGGGAGCATTGACAGCTTGCACTATAGGTATTTTTGTATCCTTATTTCTCCCCAGTAGATTGTGTGCTCCTTAAGGCCAATGTCCAATCTGCTGGGCATTTTATAAGCCCCAGAGTTTGTAAACTCAAATTGCACAGATGGTCTGTAGCCCTTTTTTAGCTTCCTCCCGCCCAGTGCAACCTGAATGGCTCCACCTTGGAGCTGGTTCCTTATTCCTCTGTGCTGTCACTAAGGTTTGGTCCCTGGAGCCCCTTGACTCACTTTATCTTAGTTATACTCTATAGCCACCTGTCAATCTGTGCTCCACCTTAGGAACTCACCTCTGCCATGAGAGCCACTGTGTGTTACATGCTGAGCCACTCAACTAGGCCTGACAAATAATTGCTTCTTACCAACCCTCTTCTTAAAGCGACCCAGCTCCTTTTCCTCCTGAACGTTTAGAGATACATTTTGAACTGAGCAGAATGGCTTTCTAAAGCAGTTATAAGGTTATTTCCCCTCAGAAGTCCCCAGCAGAGCCTAACTGGCCAGAACAGAGAGCATGGAATGCCCAGCCTGTGCTGCCTTTTGCTGTCCTCCCCTGCAGTGCTTCAGGCTGTGCTGCGGATCAACAGAGCCATCCAGAGAGGGGAGGCTGCTAACACTGTGAAGGAGCTGATGTGCCCTGAAGCCCAGCTGCCCACAGTGTACCCCTTTGCCGCCACCGTGTACCAGCAGGAGCTGGCGGTGCTCCAGCAGCAGCAGCAAGGGGTAAGCTCAGAAATGCCAGGCCAGCTCCAGGGCTCCCAAGCAGCCACAGGGTGGAGGACAGCCTGCTCCTCTGAAATGCTGGTCAGTCATTAAGTGGCGGGCGAGTATTGAGGGGGATAGTTGTTATCCTTGCCTTTCTGAGCATTAATACCCTTGAGCCAATGCCCTTGAGCAAACACTACTTTGCACATCATTTAGTCCTTAAGAGAACCCTACCAGATGAGTATTTTTTTCTATTTTAGAGGTGAGAAAACTGGGGTGCAGAGGCTAAGCTGATTGTTTCCTCAGCATGACTATAACACTGGGAGTGAATGAAGCTTGATGTACTCACAGTGTGTGCTTTTTTTCTTTTTGCAGTACTGGAGTACTGGGGCTTGAACTCAAGGCCTTCCCCTTGAGCCATTCCACCAGCCCATTTTTGTGTGTGTGTGTGTGATAGGGTTTTGCAAACTATTCGCCCAGGCTGGCTTCAATCTGCGATCCTCCTGATCTCTGCCTCCTGAGTAGCTAGGATTATATGTGTGAGCCATCAGTGCCCAGCAATTTAAGGCTTTTTTTTTTTTTTGGTTGGCACTGAGATCTGAACTTGGCCTCACACTTGCTAGGTAGGCGCTCTATTGCTTGAGCCACACCTCCAGCCAGTGCATGCTTTTAATCATGCAGCTGTCCCATCATCCTCTGGCAGTGGGGTGATACAGCCCTTGCTTAGGATCTTCCCATTTGTCACAGGGCTTAGACTTTACCTGAGAGTAAGGCAGAGTGAAGAGAAAAGTAAATGATGTAGTCAGAAGCAGACTCCAGACCAGGGAAGTGGAGGAGCAGAGCTGGAAATCTGAGAAGCCTTCCTGGAAGACAGGAGAATCAATAGAGAATTCCAAGGGCTGGCAGAGTTGTTCAAGTGATAAGAGTGCCTGCCTAGCAAGCATGAGGCCTGAGTTCAAACCCCAGTACTGCCAAAAAAAGGAAAGAATGAATTATGGTTAAGTTTGTGGACTTTAAAGGCCTGAGTTCAAATCTGGCTCTGCAAGTTCTCAGCTGTGTGACATTTGGCAAGTTATATACCTTCTCTGCCCCTCAGTTTCTTCATATATAAAATGGGAACATCAAATATTTAGCTCAGGATTATTGTAAGGATTCAATGAGTTAGCATACATGCTTACAGAAGAACCTGGCAAGTAAGTTTTAGCTGTTATTATTGTTGTTATTCACAATGTTCTAATTATAGAAGACAGCAAGGGTGCTCCAGACAGAGGGGGCAGCATATTTGAATAGGAGAAACAAGAGAACTGGGCAGGGAAATGGGGCTAGGGTCTCAAGGTATGCAGTAGAATTTGGAGGTGTGCCCAGGGCCTAGTGCAGTTCTTTTCTTGCTATTGTTTGAGACAGTCTTCCCTTTGTAGCCCAGGCTGACCTTGGACTCTTGATTCTCCTCCCTTATTACAGGCATGTGCCACCATGCCCAACCCTAGTGCAGCTCTTGATGTGAATTAGGGACCAGAGATTGCTGGCAGAGCTCATTATTGGCTCTGCAATCAGCTAGGTTTAGCCTGTATTATGGGCTATGGGCTAGGCTGGGAAATGGGGCTAATAATGAAACCTCCCTCATTGATTTGTTATGAAAACTAAATGACACTGTGAAATCCTTATAGTTATTTATATAATCAGCATCTCCAGGTATGATTATTATTAGTGAATGAATATGGACCCTAAGGTTTGAGAATGGAACTACAGATGTTGGAGAACCCTGGAGCAGGCTGGCACATTCCCCAAGCCCCAGCAGTCCCCCTGGAAACCATTCTCCCTTCTTCTGCAGGAGCTGGGCCAGGAGGAGCTCTTTGTAGCTGTGGAGATGCTCTCAGCCGTGGTCCTGATTAACCGTGCCCTGGAGGCCAGGGATGTCCGTGGCTTCTGGAGTAGTCTGGTGAACCCTGCCACAGGCCTGGCCCAGGTGGAAAGAGAAAATGCTCAGCGGTAAGAAAGATTTAGCCACTTGTTAAGGGGAAGGGGAAGGATGGAATGTGGCCAAGACTCAAGAGTCCTCCTACTTGGAAACTAGGCTTCTGTATAATGCCCCATTCTTGGGCCCAGGCCTACTTCTAGGTCTGGTCACAGTTCCTTGGCTCACATTTCTTCCCAAAGGGAGGTGGGGGGAGCTCATGGTCATTCCCTTTCCTCCACTGATTCATTTTTTCATGGCAAATGTTGGAGTACGTATCCACATGCCAGATGTTATTCTAAATGCTGGGAAACAGTAAACAAAACAAAGTTTCTGCTGTCATCAAACTTACATGCAAGCAGAGGGAGGCAAATGATTAGAAAGGCAAAAGAGCCAGGCACTGGTGGCTCATGACTGTAATTCTAGCTATTCAGGAGGCAGAGGTCAGGAGGACTGCAGTTCGAAGCCAGCCCCTGGCAAATAGTTCATGAAACCCTAGCTGGAAAATAACCAACACAAAACAGAGAGGCTCAAGTGGTAAAGTGCCTGCCATTCAAGCATGAGTCCCTGAGTTCAAACCCCAGTACCACCAAAAAAAAAAAAAAAGAGAGAGAGAGAGAGAAAGGCAGAAGAGCTAGGTGCAAAACAAAAGAGGACAAAGGGGGTAAAGGATGGGATACACTTAGTGTGGTTATGGGCAAGGAGATAACTTGAAGAGAGAACTAAAGGGACTAAGTGATTGCCTGAGACTGTGGGGCAGAAGCTTGAGAAGGAAGTATGTTAGGTGCATTCCAAGAATACCAGGAAGGCTCAATGGTAGAATACTTGCCTAGCATGTGCAAGGCCCTGGGCTAGATCCCCAGCACTGCCAAAGCGGTATGGGGGGGAGGGGAAGGAGGGAGAAAGGAAGGAAGGGAGGGAAGGAGGGAGGGAGCAGGCAGGGTGGGAGAGAGGAGTAGTCAGGGAGAGGAGTGGGGGGTGAAGATAGACTAGCGGAGTCCAGAACATGTGGGCCTATTGCTTTTACTCCAAGTGAGGAAGGAAGCCATGGGGGGGTTTGAGCAAGGAGGGAGCTGGTCTGACCTACTTTAACAGGATCATGCTGGCTGCTGTGCTGAGAAACAACTGCAGGGGTGCAAGGGGAGAGGCAGGGAGACCTGTTAGACTGCTATTGGAATAATCCCACACCAGATGACAGGGGCTTGGCCTGGGGCTGCAGCAGTGGAGGTGGTGAGAAGGTGTCAGCTTGAGGATATGTTCTGAAAGCAAAACTGACAGGGTTTGGTAGTGGAGTGATACAGAGTGTGAGAGGGATTGGAATTGGTATGACTCCAAGATTTTTGGCAAGAAGGGAGAGACTGTAGGGCACAAAGATTGTTAGGAGAATCAGGAATTGGTGAGAGCTGTGGGATTCCAGGTGCTTATTGGACATTCACATGAAGATCCCCAGGAGGCCGCTGGGAGTTGAGGGCTGGAGGTGTGCTTTTGGGAGTTATTAACATATGGCATTTAAAGCCATGAGATTAGGTGAGATCACTAGGATTGAATCTAGAGGGAAAAAAGGGCTGAAGACAGAAGATTGGGGTGCTCCTGTTTAGAAGTCAGGGAGGAGCCAACAGAGGAGGCTTGAAAAGAACAGCCTATGAGGGGAGAAGTGAACCCATTTCCCAGGAGGTCATCTTTTAGCTGATGATGCACATGCTGCTCACCTCACTCCCCCTCTCCCTGCTGCCAGTTACTTTAATGCCCTGGTGAAGCTGCAACAGGTACATGGAAAGGATGGGGACTTCTTGAGCTGGAATGACCTGCAGTCCACTGTGAACCAAATCAATGCCCAGGTCCAGGAAGAGACTGATCGTGAGTAAAGTCTAGAGCTGGGGGAAGTTGGCCCCATTACGTATAGCAGCCCATTCCCTTAGCCATAAGTCTAAAGCTACTGCCCATCTACATTTCTCTCTCTCTCTCTCTGTCTCTCAGAGGTTCTTGCAGTCAGTCTTATCAATGAAGCTCTGGACCAGGACAGCCCTGAAAAGACATTATCTGCTCTACTGCTTCCTGCAGCTGGCCTGGAAGGTGTCAGCCTTCCTATTGCTCCTCGGTACCATCTCCTCCTTGTGGCAGCCAAAAGGCAGAAGGCCCAGGTGAGGTTAGGGCTAGCTGGGTTGGTCACCAGAGCAGGAGGAGCAGCTCTTGTGGGTAGTGCTGGGCCCAGCATGCATCTTGGCAGAGGTTCCAACCTGATGGATACAGCCCTTTTCCGGAGTAGAGCACAATCAGGGTTCCCATCTGATAGGGGAAGCATGGCCTTCATTGCCAGGGCACTTGACTGAGCTAGAAGAGCACAGGCCCAGGATTCAGAGAACCTGGGCTGGATTCCCTACTCTGATTCTTTGTGATCATCTGACCTTGAGTGAATCATTGATGTCTCTGTGCCAACCTGTAAAATACTGCATTCCCTGCTCCTAGGCATCACCCAGAATGAGGGTGAAAATCAATTGAGTTGACAAGTGGGGTGGACTTTGAACCCGAAATGCCCTAAGTTTGTGACAGCAGAGAAAGTAGTTGAAAATGAGGGTTCCTGAGCCAGATTACTTGAGTTTGCATGCCAGAAATCTGACCCTGAAGTTGTCACTTAACCTCCCTGTGCCTCCATTTCTTCACATACAAACTTGTGACAATAATGAGCTTATCTCATAGTTACAGGGTTTAAGTGAGGTAATATGACAGTAGTACTAGCTAGTATTTATTGAGTTCTCTGTGCCAAGCATTGTTTTATGTACCTTACAAATATTAATTCGTAGGGTAGAGGTATGACTCAAGCAGTAGAGCACCTTCCTAGCAAATGTGAAATCCTGAGTTCACATTTTTTTGGCACTGCCAAAAAACAAACAAATAAACACCAAATATTAATTAGTTCATAAGAAAGTGTGTAAGCCAGGCGCTGGTGATTCATGCCTTTAATCCTGAGAGGCTGAGATCAGGAGGATCAGGTAGAGTGCCTCCTTTGCAAGCACGAAGCCCTGAGTTCAAACTTCAGTCCCACTGAAGTTTATTTATAAAAATAAATAAGAAAGTGTATTAGAACAGTGCCTGGCATATAGTCAGACTGACAATGTGGCAGGTGTGGGCTTACTTGGCCTGTAATCTCATGTAATCTTCCTCTTACTTTGTAGAGTTGAGGAGTGTAGAACAAATTCAGGAAAGAGAAAGGTAAAGGTCAAGGTCAGGTTTAGACTGAGAAGGTGTGAACTGGGGGCCTAGGGAAAAGGGGAAAGGAGGCAGGTATATGGAACCTTCAGGGTGGGGCTGTCCTGGGCACTGCTGAGGCACAAGGGCAGGAAATGCAGCTGTAGTAGAATGCTTGCTTAGCATATGTAAGACCCTGGGATTGATTCACAGCACTGCAAAAAATAAAAATAAAAAAGAGAGAGAGAGAGAGAGACAGACAAAGACACAGAGAGAGAGAAGGTGGGTATTAAAAGTGTAAAAGCTACACAAAGGACTGTAGTCAAGCTGAGTTGATGCTTGGGACAGCTGAAAGGGTAGGAAAAGAGCTTTCTGTGCCTGGCGGCTGTCCAAGGGAACTACAAGACCATGCCTACACAGGGCAGGCAGGAAGAGAGGAGTGGAGATTGCCATCCATATGGCTCCCAGTGATGGCCTGCAGTTTGGTTCCCCTGGGTGGCTTGGCCTGGGAGTCTGGAGAGGCCAGCCTGGGGTCTTGTCTTTTTCCATCTCTTTCAACTTGCCAGGTGACAGGGGATCCTGGAGCTGTGCTGTGGCTGGAGGAGATCCGCCAGGAAGTGGTCAGAGCCAACCAGGACACAAACACTGTTCAGAAAAGTAAGCAGGCGGGGCAGGGGCACTGAGTGGGCAGGGGAAGAAACGTGGGTTTAGCAGCAGCCAGATAGGTAACTCCCTACTCCCTTGCCTCTCCTTCATCCTCTGGGGGAAGCAGGCCAGAATCAGAACAGGGAGGTTGCTATTGACCACAGGCTGGGTTTCCTGGCAGACACTGGGTAGGAAATTCTCAGGAGTTGAGAACGCAGAGTCCACCCGCTGCTTCCTCCTATGCCTTCCTGCAGCATTTTCCTTGCAATGTGAGCTGGTATAATCATGTGGGATCCAAAAATCCATCCCATTTCTGCTGCTGGCTTACGTTTGGCTTCCAACGATTAGCTCTGACTAGAAAACGTTTAGTCTTCAGTGGGAGAAGAAGGGTTGGAAGGAGTTTGGGGAAACAGGCAGCACCAGTGCAAACAGACACTGGTGTGCAGGGCTGGATGCTGAGAGTATTGGTTCTCAGGGTCTCTGAGGGATGAAAGGCCTAGAAGGCAGGTGGTGCATTAGCCTCCCCCATTTCTTGCACTGTCTTCTAATACTGTCCCAAGGTTCTCTGCCCATATCCTGTCTTTAAGCTTCTGAATGAGCTAATTCTGCTTTTCCTGAGCCCCTACCCAGCTTGGCCCATCCCAGCTTCCACAGGAGCCCTTCTTGACTGCTACCTTTCCTCTAAGCACAGATGATTGCTGGTGCTTTCCATGTATTTCTGTGTCAACCCTCAACATGCCCTGTCCCCTCCATCAGATGGGGTGATTTTGTGTCCCTTCCTCTGATTCCCACCCCTCTGGACAGGACAGGGCCCTTGGGAGGGATTCAGAGGGAAAGACTGACTGCTCTCTCCTGATACCCGTCAGTGGCCCTTGGTGTAGCTGCCATCAATCAGGCCATCAAGGAGGGCAAGGCAGCCCAGACAGAGCGGGTGCTGAGGAACCCCACTGTGGCCCTCCGAGGGGTAGTTCCTGACTGTGCTAACGGCTACCAGCGGGCCCTAGAAGATGCTGTGGCAAAGAAGTGGCGTCCAGGTAATAGCCCCAGCCTGACCCTCTCCTGTGCCTGCCTCCTGTGAACCTCTCTGCTTACCTGATTTCTGGTTCAGGGGACACAGCTTTGTGGGTTCAACATGATATGAAGGATGGCACTGCCTACTACTTCCACTTACACACCTTCCAGGGGACCTGGGAGCAACCCCCCGGCTTCTGCCTTAACACCTCCCACCTGACTCGGGAGGAAATCCAGGTTTGCAGGGCTCCTGCCAGGGCAGGGGATTGTGCATGGGGGACACCCTGCAGGAGAGGCCCCCACCCAACAAAGGACCACGAACTGTCTCTCTTACCTCCACAGTCGGCTATCACAAAAGTCACTGCTGCCCATGACCGCCGACAGCTCTGGAAGGCCAATGTTGGCTTTGTCATCCAGCTTCAGGCCCGCCTCCGTGGCTTCCTGGTTCGGCAGAAGTTTGCTGAGCATTCCCACTTCCTGAGCACCTGGCTCCCAGCCATCATCAAGATCCAGGTAGCAGCTCTGGCTTTCTTGGTGCTCAGGGCCTGGGTGGATTGGACCTGCAGGGCATCCACCTCCTTCCTCTTCACTGAGTGGAATTGGGGTGATCCTTAGGCTTCTAGGTAGCAGTGATGAAGGGCATGAATGCTGGAGCCAGACTACTGAGGTTTGAAACTCAGCTCCACCAACATTAGTTGTGCATCCTAGCAAGCTATTCTCTCTCTGCCACAGTTTCCATCTCTGAAAAAATCAGAAAAATGGCAGCACCCACCTTTGAAGATTGTTATGAGTGTTGAATGAGTTAATATCTTAAGAGTTTATACAGTGCCTGGCAGGTAGGTAAGAACCATGATATAAGTATTGGTTACTATCATCTTCAGAGATGGTGACTCCAGAGAGTGAATGAAAGCTGATTTTTGGCCTCCCCAAGGGGAGAGTGAAGTGAGATTTAATCAGACACCAGGAAAATGTCTTGACCAGACCAGGAGTCATGAGTTGGTGCTGGGGGTTAAGCAGAAAGGAGAGGACTATCCCTGAGGGGTGGTCTAGAACTCTATGCAGAACTTCAGTAATGTGTAGTGGTCCTCTCCAGCCAACCTTTTCCATTTCATTCCTCCAACCTGTGGATTGGAACCTCTGAGGTTGCCTACAAGGGATGGAGACATAAGGCCAGCTGAGAAGACAGCCAGGAGGCACTGTGTGAGCTAGGAATGATGGGACCCTCCCAGATGGGTATGATCTGTAGGGTCTTGTGGGATGTTGGCAGTGTAAAGATACCTTATTTAATAAGCATCTCTGAATGCCCAGTACCTGAAAAGCATGCCACTGGGCACTGGTAAAGAAAGAGAGATAGGTATGAGAGTCACAGGTACGAGTGAGTGCTCACATCTCTCTCCTCAAAGGAAGTAGAGTACAGTTGATGTTAGATGTTGTGATAGAAGGGACACAAAGACAATAGCAGCAGACCTGAAGGGAGACTTGTGCATCCTAAGACTGGCAGGTGCCCTTGATCATGATCTAGGGCTGGGGGAGGTGGAGCTCAGACTTTCGAGTTGGAATCTGGAGTGGTCCTACCACTTCCCAGTTATGACCTTGTACACCTTACTTAAGCACACAGTTTTCTCACTCATGATGATGATACTCGCCTCTTAGGTTGATTGTAAGGATTAAATAGGAAAATAATGTGACAATGAGTAATAAGTGCTCCATGGTGGTCGCCATTATGAAATGCTATTAGCAGGGCCGTTGGTTGCAGAACTTTAATCATCTGCACGTAGTAATCTGAATCATAGGGACTCCTACCGCCTGAGCGTAGACTAGAGTTTCACACTAAGGAGATGAAAACCCATACCAACAGTAGGAGAAGAGATAGAGTCAGGGAGCATTTATCACTCATACTGGAGCTATGTGGGCTGTGGCCTGGATCCCGGGACACACACACATGTACACAGACAGAGGTCGCTCAGAGTCTCAGGCCACTTGCCTTCTAGCTACAGGGAAGTGAGACTTAAAAATGAGGCAGCCTGGGTGCACTGAGATTTTAAACTCTCTTGAAAATTCTGACCATAGTTGGAATTCCTACCAGTGTTCTGAACTCTAACTAATCCAGATTGGGAAGTCTGTTTTTAAAGGAGGAGCCTTGGGGCTCAGTAAGAGGGTAAGAGCAGAGAGCAGACCCCTCTGGTTTTTCTTGCAGCACTTTCCAGAGGGTACATCAGGCAGTACTTGGAGTAGGAGATGAAGGAGTGCTGATGGCGGACATGGAAATGGAGCTTCCTGACCTCTAGAATCTTAACACAGATAGCTGGTGTATGGGCCAAGCTGCCTCTCTTACATCCTGTCCCAATAGAGGGGCTGTATAAGCCTTAGGGGGAAGCCTGGCCAGGAGAACTGGCTTTAGGAATGGTGATAGGACAACTGGGTGAAAGGATGTTGGGTTTCTTTTTGAGTTGTTATTGTGTGAGATAGGATCTTGCTAGGTAGCCCAGTAGACTGGTTCAAACTTGCTATCCTCCTGCCTCAGCCAAATGCTGAGATTACAGGTATGCCCCACCTTGCCCAGCATTGAAAGGATACTTTTAAATCTCACCAATATCAGTGGTAGAGTAGCTCCAGGGTCAGCGTATTGGGTGACATTTGGCATGGGCCCTAAAAGACAGAAAGGATTTCAGTGCATAGAAGTGGTGCTAAGGATGAGGGCGTGCATAGCAAAGGCTCTCAGCAAAACATCCTAAGACATACTTGGAAGAAAGTAAAATGTCTTAGGAGAGTAAAATGTCTTAGTAATACTTTAGGAAAATTAATTTTAAACAAGCTTGAAGAAAGGAGGAGAGGCTCCTAGGAAGGAGACCAATACTGAAGGGACCCATGAAATTTGTGCTAGGGATCGGCGGGGGGGCGGGGGGAAGATTTAGGGAGGAAATGGTCTGTTGGACCCTTTGCAGCATACCACTGGGGAGAGAGCTATCAGACTCACAGCTGAATTACGAGGCCCTTGGCAGGAAGATATGCTGAGAGCTGGGGTCATAAGCTAGATGGAGTATGCACATATGAATAAAATAAAAATTAAAAAAAAAAAAAAAGAAGCTAGATGGTGTCATACAAACATAGAATACCTGTTGCCTCGGCCACTGGCAGAGATAGACACAGGGTCTGCGCCTGTACATGCTCCCATCCCACAGCCACATGACCCTCCTGACTGCTGTCTGCCCAGTTTCTATGCCTGTGAGGGAGGCAGCATGGGTGATAGGGTGTGGGTGATCTGCACATGGGTGTCTGAGTGTCTTTTGGGGGCATATGGTACATGCTTTGGTGAAGTTGGTGAGTAGGTGTATGCTTTATTAATATCTCTTAGGCCTATACCTCACAGTTGAGTGAGTTTACATGAGGAGGTGGTGCTTAAGGGTGTATATATGTATTTGCATGGGAGTACATGCTTGTCTGTTCTGTATGGGGTGGGAAAGGCACATTCATCTGCTGGGACCAGGGAGTGTGGTAGAGAGCATGGCTGGCTATATGCAGCTATTTCATCTTTCCTGTGAAACTGAGAGTTCTTTAAGAACAGAGCCAGTTTCCCGTCTTCCTTCTTCCTCACCCTCCCTGGAAAACCCAGAACAAGGTAGTTCTCTAAGCCTTTTGGGCCAAAGGAGACCTGCTAGGGTTCCCTCTTTTCTCCTGCTCTGCAGGCTAATTGGCGGGGCTACCGACAGCGGAAGATTTACCTGGAGCGCTTGCAGTATTTTAAAGCAAACGTGGATGCCGTAATCAAGGTAGCTGTAGTGGTTTGGGCCAGCTCCTATCTCTTGAGGGATCCTTGGAACAATTTTGTCATTTTTGTCCCTCCTTGTGACCTCTGGGTGACTGAATTGGCCTGGGTCTGTGAGTGGGCCTTCTGTGTGGCACTCTGAGGCAGTGTCTCTCTTCTCAGATCCAGGCCTGGGCCCGGATGTGGGCAGCTCGGAGACAATACCTCTGGCGTTTGCGCTACTTCCAGAAGAATGTGAGTGTCACCCTTCTCCCTTTCCCCCATGCCCAGCCTTTACCCATGAGGCCTTGGCAAGGACAGCCAGCCATCCTGTTCCCTTCTGTGTTCATGGCAGATTGACTCAGTTGTAAAGATCCAGGCATTTTTCCGAGCCAGGAAAGCCCAGGATGACTACAGGATGTTAGGTGAGCTGCCTAGTCCGATGGGGAGATAGGACCTCCAGAGTCAGGAGGTCTAGGTTTCCCTCTTGGGGAAGTCCTTCCTCCCTCTGTCCTGCACCTCTCCATCCAGGGATCTGGCCATCTGCCTCTGGGCAGCTACCTTCTTTCTCTTCCCACCTCTTCCCAGCTTGGCTTTTTCTATCTTTTCTCTTGCTATTGCACTAAGGCTACTGCTCTAGCCATCCTTTATCTTTTTCTTCTATTCAGCTCCTAGAGTTTCTAGAAGAATGTATTCTTCCCAGTATTTCTTAGCCTCCAGACTCCACTCAGAGCCCTTCTACTTACTAGCTGTGTGGCCCCAGGCAAGTTACCTAACCTCCTTTACACAATGGACATAATGATGATACCTATGCTGAGGATGAAATGAATTAAGGTGCTACATTTTATCCAATCCAAGATGCCACAATCTTTCTTTTTTTTCTTTTGCAGTACTGGGACTTGAACTCAAGGCCCACCCCTTGAGCCACTCCACCAGCCCTTTTTTATGATGAGTTTTTTCGAGATAGAGTCTTGCGTGAACTATTTGCCTGGGCTGGCTTTGAACCTTATCCTCCTGATTTCTGCCTCCTGAGTAGCTGAGATTATAGGCATGAGCCCCTGGTGCCTGGCACCATCATCTTTTTTTTTTTCTTTTTGGTGGTACTGGGGATTGAACTCAGGGCTTCACAATTGCAAGGGAGGTGCTCTACCATTTAAGGCACACTCCCAGCCTCTAAGATGCCATCGTCTTGTCTTAGTTTTCACAGTTCTTCACTCCTTGAAGATCTGCCTTCCACTGAAGCCAGATTAATCCATTAAACTTGTACATGTGATCTTGTCACTCTCTTGTTTAAGACCTGCCATGGCATGGTGGCTCATGCCTGTAATCCCAGCTACTTGGGAGGTGATCAAAAGGATAGCAAAAAGTTAGTGAGACCTCATCTCAATTAATGAGCTGGGTGTGGTGGAGCATGCCTGTGGATCCCACTTACATGGGAAGCATAGGTAGGAGGATCCAGGTCATGGAAGGGAGCAGTGTGGGAAACTGGGTCAAGGCAGTGGGGTATTGTGCTGTCTGAGGCTGGCCCAGGGTGAAAACATGAGACCTATCTTAAAAAAAAAATTAATAACCTAAAAGAACAAAAGGGGCTGGAGTTGTTCTTCAAATAGTAGAGCTCCTATCTAGCAAGCACAGGGCCCTGAGTTCAAACCCCAGTACTGCCCCCCCCAAAAACAAGACCTGTTGTGACTCCCCATTGTTCTGAAAATAAAATTCAGTCTCCTACCCACAATGCCCCAGTGCCTGTGATCCAGCCTCTGCACCTCTCCTCTCACCGACCCATCCCTCACACTCCCACCGTGCACTGTGCTCCAGACACTCTGGACTTCTAGCTCCTCCCAAACAGCTGTATTCACCTCTTATCTCTTCTTCCCAGATAGCAGGAGGGATCTCACCTCCTCTGGAAGCAGTTCTACACTTCTTAGTAGAAGCAGGGCCATTTTACTTTCCCAAAGGTTCCCAAGTTCACTCCTCTCAAAGCACCACCCACACTGTAGTGAATCAGGGCCCATTTGCCTAGATCCCCTTCTAGACTGCCTTTAGGAACAGGGCCTAGTTTCCTTCACTTTCTAAATCTCCTTCACTCATTACTAGCTGTGTAGCCTAAGGTAAGTTACCTACCCTCTCTGAGCCTAAATGAGCTCATCAGTAAGATGAATGGTTATAGTCTCCTCACCTCTTAGGGTTGTTTTAAAACACTTGGAGCTGTGCATAGTGGTGCACACCTGTAGTCCCAGCACTTAGGAAGGGGAGGTATGAGGATCATGAGTCTGAGGCCTGTCTGTACTATATAGCAAATTCAAGGCCATCTGCTACATAATAAGACCCTGCTTCAAAAACCAAAAAAACACTTAGAATATTGTCTGTCTCATAATGTATACATGTGTATATATATGTGTATATGTGTGTGTAGACACATAATATATATACATAAATATACACTCATATACATATGTTATTGTTTTGTTATCCTTATAGCTTGGTTCAGAGGCTTTTTTTTTCTTTCTCACATACCAGATCACTATCTAGCTCTGACTGTCCTATACTATAAAGCCCCTTAACCACCCCATGTAGTGGGCCCTGTCCCAGTCCCACACACTTTTGACCAGAGTGTGGTGGAAAGTAAGAAGTGAGAGTAGAGGCTGATGGGGGAGGATGAGAAGCAAGTTAGTCCAGTAGGACAGGGTAGACAAAGTGGAGCAGGGAGGCTAGAAGGAGCATCAGCAGGAGGGGCTGGTCTGGCTTTGGTGTAAGAGGCCCAGGCAGGCATTCAGCCTGGAGCAGGGGAAAGACAGCTCTATGTCGTCCCCAGGTAAGACCCAAAGCTCAGGGTCCCCCCTGCTGGGCAGCCACTGACAGCCAGTCAGAAGAGGCCTGGGCTGGGGAGCTGCTGGCCTTTAGCAGAAAGGGGAGCTGAGGGTGGGCTCACTGGATGAGGGCTGTCCAGGAGGACTCTGGTGAGGCTTGTCTAACTCAGTGCTTCCTGCCTCCCACAGTGCATTCTCCTCACCCTCCCCTCAGTGTGGTGCGCAGATTTGCCCACCTCTTGAACCAGAGCCAGGAGGACTTCTCAGCTGAGGCAGAGCTGCTAAAGCTCCAGGAAGAGGTGGTCAGGAAGATTCGGTCCAATCAGCAGCTTGAGCAGGACCTCAACCTTATGGACATTAAGATAGGCTTGCTGGTAAAGAACCGGATCACCTTGCAGGTGAGGGGTCCACTGGCTCACCCCTTCCCTAAATCAAGCTCCTATGGAGAGGGGATGCTGACCATTCTCTGGTTGCTAATTAAATCTTTTTAAAATGTGTGCATTTTATCACCTGGCTCAGGTCCTTGTGTCAGTGGCCCTCTGCCCTGGTTGGAGATGTGTGATACAGTAGAAAGAACCCTGGTAGAATTGGTAGATGGGGCTATAGATGGTCATTTATGACATTTTCTTTTCTTTCTTTTATTTTTTGGCCTGAGATTTAAACTCAGGGCCTTACGCTTGCTAAGCAGGTGCTCTTCCACTTGAGCCACTCCACCAGCCCTATAGGTGGCCATTTAATGTCAAAGTATATTTCCTTTTCAGTAAACTAGAATAATTTTCCCCAGACTAAATTTGTAAATTACAAATATGAAATGATCTAATGATGTCTAATAAAAAATAGTAACAAAAACCAAGTAGATACAGTGCTTCTGCCCGGCAAACCAGTCCTCTTCGGAGACTCACCTCTGTGAGCACAGAGGTGCCAGATGGTCTCAGGGCAATAGGAGCAGCCCCAGAACTGCCGAGCAGCCACACCTCTGCCTTGAACAACAGAAAGCCCTGGTTCCTCCAGATGCTGATTCTAGACCATATGTTCCATGCTTGATGCTGGCCTGGGCTGGCTCATATTGCCCACTCCCTGTCCCCTGCAGGAGGTCGTCTCCCACTGCAAGAAGCTGACCAAGAAGAATAAGGAGCAGCTGTCAGATATGATGATTCTAGACAAGCAGAAGGGATTAAAGTCTCTGAGCAAGGAGAAACGGCAGAAGCTAGAAGCTTACCAACATCTCTTATACCTGCTCCAGGTGAGCAGAGGACTCCCAAAGGGGAAGTCTCTATGTCCTCTGAGGACCTGGGACCTTGAAGCCTTCTTCTCTGTGCCTTTTCCTCCATCTAAGATGTCCTTTCCCATAATCCCAATGCCCTGTCCCCAGGAAAAGATACTGCCTCTCCCTATTTGTCTGGAATGTTTCTCGTACTTGCTTTCTCCACTCCAAGTTTCCTTATGCGATGGATTGTTAGTCCTCCAAGTGCATCATTAGCCCTGCCTGTCTCCCCGATTGCTTGCAGACTCAACCAATCTACTTGGCCAAGCTGATCTTTCAGATGCCACAGAACAGAACCACTAAGTTCATGGAGGCAGTGATTTTCAGTCTGTACAACTATGCCTCCAACCGTCGAGAGGCCTACCTCCTGCTCCAACTATTCAAGACAGCACTCCAGGAGGAAATTGAGTGAGCTTCCCTAACACACAGGGTGGCGGTGGGGGATGCCCCTGGGGCTCCTTCACTGGGTGACAGCTCCTTGAAGTATAGTGGTAAACTAGCATCAGAAGACTGCTCGTCCCTGCCTCCTGTGGAGATACTACAACTTCCCTGGCATAGCCTGATGGGAGGATGGGGGGTGACATGTTAGCAGAAAGAATGAGACAGATAGCAGGACATTTCTTAAGACAGGGGCATCATAGCAGGCTTTGAAGAGCCAAAATCTCAAAAAGGGAAAGCAACTATTTGTCCTACCTAGAAGCATGAGACCAGATTTACCTACCTCTTGAACCACAGGTCAAAGGTGGAGCAGCCCCAGGATGTGGTGACAGGCAACCCAACAGTGGTGAGGCTGGTGGTGAGATTCTACCGAAATGAAAGGGGACAAAGTGCCCTGCGGGAGATCCTGGGCAAGGTTATCCAGGACGTGCTGGAGGACAAGGTACTTAGTGTCCACACAGACCCTGTCCATCTCTACAAGAGCTGGATCAATCAGACTGAGGCCCAGACAGGGCAGCGCAGGTGAGCAAATAGGCAGAGGGAGAGCTTTGTTTGATCAGCTCTGGCTTGGGCCTCCCTGGGGAAACTTGGGTGTGTTCGAAGGTGACATGAATGAGCAAGGTGATTTATCCAAAGATGATGCCAGCCCTACAGAATAAATAAGGTAGCCTTTCAGACCCCTCTGGTAATTAACATGGCACTGGTGTAAATAACTCCAGACCTGGTGAGCTTAACATAAAATGAGCACAGATGAATATGCAAATGTGCTTAATTGCTGTGTCAGGGCTTGGAATGGATTGCCAGATTTGCTAGGAGTTAGGATATAGACTCCTTATTGATAGGGGTACACATGAATATTTAGATTTACATATAAATAAGCAAATGAGATAGTGGGAAAAGTAGATTGACCTTATAGGTTGAGAGCTTTACTCAGGTTCATAGGTACCAGGGCGTACGAGCCACTGAGGAGAGCTGGAAATCCTGGTGGCTGCTCTGAATAGCATGAAAAGCTGTAGATGGGTGAAATACAAGACCCCAGTTTTCTCTGTTGTCCTAACTGCCAAGGATTATATGATGACAGCCTCCTGATTTCTTCTGCTTCTTCTTAGGAATCTTTGCACAGATTCCAGGTCCTCCATTCCTTCCTATCCTCTGCCAGCCTCACTGTGGTTACTGCAACTTTCTTCTTCATCTTCTGCCCACATTGCTACAGTCTTCCCTGCATTGTTACTGCTATTGTGGCCCTTCCCCTGGCATGGTAGCCACCCTTAGTGTGTCTGTATGAGACAACAATGAGTTGTAAATTCTCCCTCTGGTACCTAGGAGGTGGAAATAGCTTTTTTGGCTATTTTGGAGATGGGGGGGTCTCATGAACTATTTGCCTGGGCTATTGTCAGAGAAGAGCTTAGGGAAGAAGGGGTCCAGCTTCACCTTGTCTTTCTTTGCCCACAGCCATCTCCCCTACGATGTCACCCCTGAGCAGGCCTTGAGCCACCCCGAGGTCCAGAGAAGACTAGATATCTCCCTGCGCAACCTCCTTGCCATAACCGATAAATTCCTTGTCGCCATCATTTCATCTGTGGACCAAATTCCGTATGTGTAACAGTCTTGTCCCAGGCTAGGCAGGGGATGTCAAGAAGTCCAGGCCATGGTGGAGAAAGCAGAGCAGGATCTTGGTCCTGAAGGGAGGAAGGTGGGAAGGGACACTGAGCTGGAGGTACTCAGAGGGGCTCCAATGTATAGACCATGCTGGAAGCCCCAGTAGGGAGCTGAGCTGCAATACAGCAACCAAGCCTGTGTGTGTGACCCATCAGGTTTTCACTGGAGCCAGAGGCAGGAACCTGAAGTAATGATTGTCTGAGAAATGAGGATAAAATGGGACACTTTGGTTCACAAAATGAAAAAAAGGAAGGGAGGAAGAAGGAAAAACTTCAAACTAGGAAAGCCCTTTATAGGTCTCTTCTTTTTAATAATTTAGTCAATAAATGTTTTGTGAAAATCAACTGAATAAGGATACTAGCCAGGTGAGTCATCTAGATCCATCACTCAGCCTGCCAGCTTTCCTAGAGCTTGGCACTGCCCAGGGCTGGGTGGAGTGCTGGAGGAGAGGTAACCCAGATTTCATAACCCAGTCTCAAACTGGAGAACTGGATTAAGGGTTTGCAATTAGGAGTCAGGAAAGGATGTCTTAAGTCTAAGAAAGAGAAATACATAATGAGTTGTAAATTCTGTCTCTGGTATCCAAGTAGGTAGAAATAGCATTTTTGGTTATTTTGGAGATGTGGTGGGGGGGGGTCTCATGAACTATTTATCTGGGCCAGCCTCAGGCTGTGAATTGTGATCTTCCTGATCTCAGACTCCCAGGTAGCTAGGATTATAGGCATGAGCCACTGGTGCTCAGCAGTGGAAATAGCATTTAAACGAATTTAACTTTGTAGGTAGCATATCTATTATAAGAGTAATAAAGTCTAGCACATTTGAATGGAACTCCACCATTACTGATTACTTTCACAGACATCATTCCTCACAAACACCCTGTGAGACAGAGAGGGCAAGAGTGGTCATTCCCATTTTTCAGAACAGGGAATAGACCTCAGAGGGAAAGGAAACATCCTAAGGTGGTATCTCATTGGTATGCAGTCAAGACTAGAGTGTCTCTCCCAACTCATTGATCTCCTGGGGCCCCATCACAGTTCAGACAGGTGCTGTGATAGCTAACAACCTCCAGGGCTATTTTGGCTGTGAGTATCAGATACCCAAGAGATAAGCTAAAGGTACCTCCCTAGGGAGGTTGAGGGATATTGTGAACTAGGGTGTTCTGCAGGGGAGACTGGAGGGTCTCAAAGAAGAGGCTCAGCCAGGTGCCAGTGGCTCATGCCTGTAACCCTAGCTACTTGGGAGGCAGAGATCAGGAGGATTGCATTTTGAAGCCAGCCTGGGGAAATGGTTCATGAGACCCTATCTCAAAAATAACCAACACAAAAGGGCTGGCACAGTGGTTCAAGTGATAGAGTGCCTACCTAGCAAGCATGAGGCCCTGAGGTCAAATCCTAGTACTGCAAAAGAAAAAAAAAAAGAAGAAGAAAAAGAAGAGGCTTTGGAGCCAGGCATGGTGGCATGTCCATAATCCCAACATGTGGGAGACTGAGACAGGAGAATGGGGGAGTGCAGCAGGGGCCAGTTCTGGATAGAAGAAGGACAGTGCTTTGAGCTCTACTCTGGTGCGACTGAGGCTGGGGAGGAGAGGTAATCAGGCACTCACTCATGCCCTGAGCCCTGGGACAAAGATATGGGCAGAGTCACAGTGTGCCTATTGCTTTACCCCCAAGGTATGGGATGCGATATGTGGCCAAAGTCCTGAAGACAACCCTGGCAAAGAAGTTCCCCAATGCCACAGAGAGTGAGATCTATAAGGCAAGTGTTGTCTTCCTCCCCCACTTCCAGGACCCTCTTTTGCCCTCTGGTGCCTGTGATCCCCAGACAGACAAAAGAACAGAAAACCCAATGTTGTAAAAAGCCAAGGAGGAAAATATGCCCTGCCCTATAAATTGAGCCTGGCCCACCAGCAGGCTTTGGGTGGCAGATGGAAAGGCAGGTGGGGCGTAAGACAACAGAATGGACAGCCCTGGGCCTCTTGTCAGATTTGGGTCCTAACCCAATTCTTGCTCAAGTTTGCTGCATGACCTTGAGCACTGCCCACCTGCTTTGGGTCTATTCTTTCTGTGACTGACTGATGGGTTGGCCCAGGTGATGGTGATCCCTTCCAGACATGTGAGGCCATAGCTGTCAAGGTGGCCTCTGGCCCATTCTCTTCCCTCAGGTGGTGGGGAACCTCCTGTACTACCGCTTCCTGAACCCAGCCGTGGTAGCTCCCGATGCCTTTGACATTGTGGCTATGGCAGCAGGCGGTGCCCTGGCTGCCCCCCAGCGCCATGCCCTGGGGGCTGTGGCTCAGCTCCTGCAACATGCTGCAGCTGGCAAGGCCTTCTCTGGGGAAAGCCAGCACCTGCGGGTCCTGAATGACTATCTGGAGGAAACACACCTCAAGTTCAGGTCTGGGGTCCTGACTTCCTATTCCTCTCTGTCCCTTTCTCTCTGCTTCTCATGGTTCACATGCCACCTCTCCCCTTGGAGTCCAAGCACGGGAAGAGGCACAGAGGTGAGGGGTATAGTGAGGGCTGGAGGCTGGGTTGTGGAAGGACTCCCCGGCAAAGGGAAAAGGGTACTATAAGAGGAGGTTGTTTGGGCAGAATGCCAGGACAGAGGTAGGAGAGGACAAAAGTGGAGCTGGAACTGAGACTAGATATTCAAAACTGGCTTGAGCAGCCCTGGAGGGGCCCAGGGAAGGGAAGAGGGGGATAAAACATGGCAGAAATGCCAGCCTTGCCTACTCTGATGTGCCCTCACTCTGGGGATAGGAAGTTTATCTGCAGAGCCTGCCAGGTGCCAGAGCCAGAGGAGCGTTTCACGATGGATGAATACTCAGACATGGTGGCCGTGGCCAAACCCATGGTGTACATCACCGTGGGGGAGCTGGTCAGCACGCACAGGGTGAGGGACCACAAACTGGAGGGCACCAGGTAGGAGGGCAGGGCTCTGGATGTCCCCCATAGGAGCAGGATGGCCCAGCTTAGCCCCTGCACCTCCTTTCCTTCCTTTATCTGTAGCTGTTGCTGGAGCACGAGGACTGGATCACTCCCGACCATCGGGATCCCCTGCACCAGATACTGGAGGACCTTGGAGAGCTGCCCAGTATCCCTGACCTCATTGGTGCGTGCCCTCCTTGACAGCTGGGGCCAGCTAGGGGCCTACAGGGAGGGACTGACAGCATGTGGGCAGGGCCTTTGAGTGTGCCTGAACAGACTGGTCACATGCCATGTGGCTGTTATCCTCTCTGTCCCTCTCTCCTTATTCTGAGATGAACATAGGCACACTGCTTGATATGGAGTGGACAGACAGTATAGGGACCTAGTACCATCATATCAATGAACAATTAAGCCATGTGCTAGAGACATGGAGGAATAGGGTGGGTCCTAAAATGTTTCTCTGATGAGGAGTGGTTCTGGGCTGTGGAATCAGAGGAAGCCAGCTTACCAGAGAAGAAGGGCAGAATTAAGGGCAGGGAGCCAGGAGCTACAGGCTGCAGAAGACATAGCCCCTGGCACCCAGGCTTAAAGCATGGGGAGACACAGCCACAGTAACTTATGCAAGGTCTTCCATGGATACTCAGGGTTGAGGGCATGGTGTGGTAAGGCAGTACACATTCCATGGGGCAGTATGGAAAGACTTCCTGAAAGAGGTGTACAGAGGAGCACCTCTGCCACAACCCCATCCTGTGTCTGTGTGCATGTGGGTGTGTATGTCTGTCCCTTTCATTCCTCACCCCACCTCAGGAGAGAACTTGGCTGCAGATGGGCACGTGGATCTGAGCAAGCTTGAAGTGTCCCTGACACTCACCAACAAGTTCGAAGGGCTAGAGGCAGATGCTGATGACACCAATGCCCAGAGCCTACTTCTGAGGTGGGTGCAGTGGCCCCCCAGGCCTAGGGCCAATATGATGGCTCTGAGGGGACTACTTCACCTGCTCCTTCAGGAAATTCTCCCTGAAGCTTAACCCATGTTCTACTTCCTGCAGTCTCAGCTATTTTGGCAACCTCAGCTTTTTTGCTTGGGGGTTATAGCTGAAAGCAAAAGAATAATTAAGATTCCTTAATCATTTGTATGGACAAGCAGTATCAGTGGCTCATGCCTTGTAATCCTAGCGACTCAGGAGGCTTAAATCAGGAGGATCATGGTTTAAGGCCAGCCCAGGAAAATAGTTCCCAGACCTGATCTCCAAAATAACCAGAGCAAAATGGACTAGAGGTGTGGCTCAAATGGTAGAGCTCCTGCTTTGCAAGCTCAAGGCCTTGAGTTCAAATCCTAATCTCACCAAAAAAAAAAAAAAAGATATGGGCAACGACAGGTGTTTGCACACTGTTAGCATTTCACCTTAGGGACAAGCGTGAGGTAGGTGATGGTCTCCTTCTCCATGGTGAAAAAGGACAGTTGTGAGACTCCTCCAAGTCCGGCAGCCAGTGGGAGGCACAGCCGAGTTCTCACTCCCCATTCTTATGATAGTCAGGGGAATGGCATGGAACTCTTCTTTCCACTTTGGCAAAGCAAGGCACTGCCCTAGCAGGGCTGGGCTGGTCATCTGGGCAGAAGAAGAGCCAAATTACCGGCTCCATCTCCCTGCCAATAAGGGAACCCCTCTATCCATTCATTTGCTCAATAAGCAAGCGAGCAGGTATTGTGCTTTGTCCTGCCATAGAAGGGCTAATAGCCAGCAGTCAGAAAGCCACAGAGAGGTGGGGGGTGTCAGGGGCAGTGAGAGCTCAGGAGAAGGGACACCTGGACTAGGAGGAAGAAGTGCAAACTCCAAAGAAAGACAGTTTGAGGGAAGGTGTTTTAGCCCCCTCCTCACATCCCAAGCATCCCTGGCAGCCGTGACATGGGGGCAGGGTCAACTTACCCTCAGATGTCTGGCCAGCCCATGTCAAGACCATTCTCCAGCCCTCACCTCTCTCACCACCTCCTTCCTCCTGTAGCACCAAGCAGATGCTGGCTGATATCATTCAGTTCCACCCTGGGGACTCCCTTGAGGAGATTCTGTCCCTCTCTGCTTCTAAACAACAGGTGAGTGACTGGACCAGTCTACCAGGTTGGTCTCATGTACCCTACCTCCCCTAAACACTGCCAATCTCCCCTCCCTCCCCACAGTCTGCCACAATAGTATCTTGGCTCACCAGTCATGAGCACTCTGGAGAGCCAAGCTTCTGCCATTGACACCACAGACCAAGAGAACAGCCCAGCCTCAGAGAGCTTCTGGCTACAAAGTCCTGGGCCTCACCTCCCTTCCACTCCCCACACTGAGATGAGTGCCCCTATGCCAGCACTGGGCTTGTAGGGAGTGCCAAAGGGCAGTCTGGGAGGCTACCCTAAAGAACCCCAAGGGCTTTGCTCTGAAAAGATGGTTATCTACTTGGAGGTCCAGAGGCAGGAGAGGGTGGGAAGTGGTGGAGGGCAGGGACAGCTGGGCTAGCCAGCATGAAGACAGTCAGGAACTTTCCAGAAAATGGTGCTGGTGACCAGTAAGGCATGTCCTAAAGCAGAACATGAAGGGAAGTGTCCCCACATACCCTGCATCCATCGTTGGGAAGCCACAGCCAGTGTCTAGCTGAATCCTTTGTGCTGCAGCTTTGTTTGGATCCCCTTTGGGCCCCTCCTCCCCTATGGCAATCCATGAGGCCCTTCCATGAGTCACACCATGTGTTATCATCTTATGCCTCCATGTTGTCCACCAGTTGTACCCTCCCCTGCCACCATTCCACGAGAAGCTATGCTCTGGGGGCACTTTCCTGATGACACTAGAAAAGTGCACAGGGTTCTCTTTGTTGCTGTGACCTCAGTGTCTGTCGTGGGGCAGGAAGGACAGCCTGGTAGCCCCCTCAGCATCTCTGCTCCCCAGGAAGCCGCCCACAAGCGAATGATGTGCCGACGCCAGGCCTGTGAGGCCCAGACCCCAGAGCTGCTACGACGGCACCGCTCCCTGATGGCCCACTCCCTCCTGCCTCTGGCAGAGAAGCAACGTCGTGTCCTGCGGAATCTTCGTCGACTCGAGGGCCTGGGGTTGGTCAGTGCCAGCGACGGCTACCAGGGGCTGGTGGATGAGCTGGCCAAGGTAACAACCCTGTGTGCCTGCTATGTGCATGCACAAGTGCACCTCTGTACATGCACAGGTGGAGTCACAGTGCTGGCATTCCAAGGGCAGGCTCTCTTCTCTCTAGTGAGTGCCACCCGAAATTGTCACCAGCCAAAGGAAAGCTGAAGGTTCTATTTGAAGGACACATTCTAAAATCAGTCGTGGAGGGGGATTTCTTCAAACTCTTTTACTAAAGCACCAGGATCCTGGAAACGGGTTACTCGTCTATTGAAGAGAGGTCTTGAAGACATACCTTGAGGGTCTGGGATGACATCCTTGAGATTGTCCTCCTCCTAGGAAAAGCAGTCTAGAGCTGTCTCTTCCTGCTTTTGTTGTTGTTGTTGTTTGTTTTGTTTTGTTTTTGTGGTGCTGGGGATCAAACTCGGGGCCTCATGCATGCTAGGCAAGCATTCTACCACCAAGCTACACCCCCAACCCTCCTCTTCCTGCTTTTCCTAAACATCCTTGAAATTAATGAGTGAGTTATTCTTGGATCTTTGTCAGGCCATGAGCCTATTTAACCAGGAAGGGCCAACAGAGCTCCTCCCTCCGTTTCCTAAACTCCAGGACATCCGAAACCAGCGCAGGCACCGTCAGCGGCGGAAGGCAGAGCTGGTGAAGCTGCAGGCCACATTCCAGGGCCTGAGTGCTAAGACCACATTCTATGAGGAACAGGGAGACTACTACAGCCAGTACATCCGGGCCTGCCTGGACCACCTGGGCCCCAGATCCAAGTAGGTGCTGCTTTCCTGTACAAATTACCTGTGCTCTCTCACCACTGCTCATATTGACCTTTTTCTGTCTGTCTCCCAGCTTTGAAAGGGAAATCTCACCCAGCACAGCACAGTCCCCTCCTTACTGGTGTTTGAGTCCCACTCAAGGCCTTGGGCTGAAGTACAGCTCCTTCTTCTGTCTTCCACCAATGAGAAGTCTTCTCAGACCTAATTTCCTTCCTGCCAGCCACAGAGAACCAGGTTGTCTTTGGTAGTGAAGAGTGGTGAATGAATTCTCTGTTGCCTTCTTTTAATCAGGAGTTCGGGGAAGGGGAAGAAGCAGCCATGTCTTCATTACACTGCGGCCCAGCTCCTGGAGAAGGGTGTCTTGGTGGAAATTGAAGATCTCCCCACCTCTCAGTATGTAACTTTGGAGGGCAGATGTGGGATCCTTCTTGTCCCCTGATAGGGGGAGGGAGCTCTGGGGAAATAGCTCTGGGCAAGGCACTGGGTGAAAGAGAAGGCAAGTGGTCCCTGCCTTGAAGGTGCTGCTGGAGTGATGAAGGAGACAGGGCAACCCCAGACAGAGAGTTCAGGACAACGGACATGGTCTAGCACGATTCTAGACACCCAGGGCAGAGGATGCTGGGAAAACTTCCTGAAGATACAAACAACTGGGCAGGGTCAGGCAGATAGATGGTGGGGGGCTGGAGGCATGGCTCAACAGTAGAGCATTGGCTTTGCAAGCATGAATCCCTGTGTTCAAACTCCAGTACTGCCAAAAAAAAAAAAAAAAAAGAGAGAGACAGAGAGAGAAAGAGATGGTGTGAACAGAAGTACAATTGGAAGCCTGCACCGGTGACTCCCCGTAATCCTAGCTACTTATGAGGCAGACATCAGGAGGATCAAGGTTCGAAGCCAGCCTGGGGAAATGGTTCATGAGACCCTATCTTGAAAATACCCTCCACAAAAAATGGCTGGTAGAGTGTAGGCCCTGAATTCAAACCCCAGTACCACAAAAAAAAGGTGGGGGGGCTGCTGGAGTTGTCCCAAGGTGTAGGCCCTGTGTTCAAGCCCCAGTACCACAAAAAAAAAAAGTACACTTGGAAGAAGACAGAGAGCTGGGTCCCCCTAGGAGTGACAGAAAGGAAGCCTGAGCTCTGGATGACAAACACTGCTGCCTCAGATGAGGAGCAGCAGCAAGAGCAGGACCATGGCCCTGGAAAAAGATGAATATCGAACAATCCCTACCTGACAGCTTTAGAAACGTCATCTTTGACATTATCCCTGGAAATGAAGCAGGAAAATTTGAAGTAAATGCCAAGTTCCTAGGTGTGGACATGGAGCGGTTTCAGCTTCACTATCAGGTGAGGAGACACTCCCATGAGTCCTCAAGACACCTGCTAAGCTTTAGGTGCTGGCCTCAGTTCCCTAGGTCTCAAATGACATCCGCTTGACTCCCCACCCAATCAGTATTGTCTGTTCCTGGAGAGAAGGGTGGGGGTCTGTGCAGCCTAAGTCCCCCACTGCCATGCATCAATGGGTAGGACGGGGCTGGTGGTGCCAGAAGTAGGATTAATGCTTGAAGCCCTGTCTCGTGTCAGGAGCTTTGTGCTTTTCTGTGTTACCTCACTTAATCCTCTCCACAGCTCTGGAGCATTATCCTTATTTTATAGGCTCTGAGGCTAAAAGGTTAAGAAGTCAGCCTCATGCATAACCAGTGTTCAGGGAAACAGTGATTTTAAATCCAAATCTTTTTTGCTCTGCTGTTTTGCCTTTTAAGTAAGAAAACTGATTTCCCCTGACTTTGCTGGTTTTGACATTTGTTTGAGTCATTGTGCCTCTCTCTCTTGGCCTCCGTTTCCTCATTTGTAAAGTAGGTTTTTTTCAATACCCTACTGGAGTGGCCAGTGCCACTGGCACTGTATAAGGCTCCATGACACTGGTGTTTAGTAGATTTAAGGGCAGAAGCCCTTAAACCCTCTTCCTTTCCTCTTCCTTCCTAGGACCTCCTGCAGCTGCAGTATGAGGGTGTGGCTGTCATGAAGCTCTTCAACAAGGCCAAAGTTAACGTCAACCTCCTCATCTTCCTCCTCAACAAGAAGTTTCTGCAGAAGTGATGAAGACAGTGGGTTCCCAGGCCCCTCTTACCTCGATGGGTGCTCTTCTTTAACACTGACTCACCACTCTGCTTCCATACAGACACCCCGCGCTCAGGCCCTGGCAAGGCTCATGGATTCTCACCCCTTCCTGGCTTGAAGGAGTTTGCCTACCTGGCCCCAGACAGCATTGCTTCTGACTGGCTCAAGTAGGCCTTACTCCCTAGTCCAGCTGTGTGTCTTTCACCACACATGACAGACCCCATGGTTTTCCAGCCAGACAGTGGGTATGAACCTAAGCCTGCACCTGTGCCTGGGAAAGCTATTGCTTTCGTGTCTGCTGCTGCCCTCCCGTGGTCACCCCAATATTACAAGCACTGCCCAGCAGCCTTATTTCCTCTCTACCCTCCTCTCTGAAGACCCCCAAAGCCAGGGTCAGGCTTTCTACCCTGCTTCTCACTTCATCAGCAATGGTGGTCCTGCCCTGCCAAAGCCCAGGCCCCTCTGCTACTGTAACAGTGCCCACCCTCCAGCCCCTCACCCCATACCTGGACAAGGAGTCAAGGTGCTATATAGTAGTATGGGCAAGATGACTTTCTATGAAACACAAATCTCGTTCCCTCATTTATATGTCTCTTTTATATGTGGCTCACCAGGATATTTATTCTCTCTCTCACCCCTACACCCCAGATCATTGTACACCTTAATCATGGTTTTAACTTCTTCATTTTTTTGAGCCAAAAGAGTTCTCATTTCCCCAATTCAAATTAACATCTATGCCATTCTTTTCTATCTTGTATTAAAGTCACCTTGGGTGAGGGTACTAGGGTCCCACTTGTGTTTGAGAGCTCATTATCTCAGCTTCCTACAGGACAAAGAGCAATCTTTCCCTTTTCTCTGTCACCCTCAGCACTTTTTCACCCTTAGAGCTGATTCTATCAGTGAGTTCGCACAGACCCGCCTCTACCACTGTCTGTCTGTCCACTCCACATCTTCCAACCAATCCCCTGTCCCTGTACGCCTTCTGGTTTCATCTTAATAAAAGCAGCTGGTACCCCCAAATCTATAGTTAGTCCCTTATTTCACTTTCTGTAAAGTTCTGGGGCACAGCTTCGCCGGGAGTACTGGGGATCCATCCTGTAGCCCTAGGCCTGCCTTGGGTGTGGGCCCATTCTGCCTGCTGGAGTTTGTAAAAACTTAATGAGATGTGGCATGTCTTCCTCTCTTCCCTCCCCCAGGGGACAAAGGAGGAAAGAATGCTTAGGTTTCAATTCTGATTTTTACTGTCCACTCTGAAGACTAAAGTGGAGAGGAGAAACCATTCCAAGTTCTACCCACCCATTTTACACACAGTTCCACCAGGTTCCTTTCCTGAGCCTTGGGTGCTGATGCCAAAGGTGCTTGAGTCCCAGCTTCTTAGCATTGTAGGTTCTACACTCTGATCAAAATCTTTCCATGGGGAACCCCACCCTCTTTTCCTCCCAGCTTTCAGGAAGCGGGGAGGGCCTGTAGGGCAGGCAGTACAGACAGACACCTGTTCTGACATCTGAACTCCTAAGCAGCATCTGTTGGGCACCCACGTTTACCTGGTGCAGCCTGCCTCCCTCCACTCTGTTCCATTCTGTCACTCAGGATCTGTCTTGCTGTCACATTCAATCTCAGTCACAGTCTCTCCCCCCCTTAACATGTCACAGCAAAGATTTCAGTACTACTTTGCTCTGGGTGACAGTGACACATACCAGTAGATCCTGGTTTCTACCTGTGCTCAGTCATCATTAAAAATCTCACACTCACCAAATAGCCCCAAAACTATCCCACTGTCTGCACCCCCCCCCACCAAATCACATGAACACAGCCACATATACCACATACAGAAATGTCAGTAGTTACTGTAATTGAGGGCCTGTCCTGGGCTCAGATAGTCCTGTCATTTACTACTACAACAACCCCACAAAAGTAGGCGGTCACCATCTTTGTTTTACAGATGATGAAACTGAATTTCAGAGGGTTAGATAACTGCCCAAGACTCCCTAGTTGGTAAGGGGCAAAACAGGGCCTTAAACTCAACCCATCCATTCTAAAACTACATATTCCCTGCAATTTTCTCTTGAGAAATACTTTTGTTTCCTTCAACTCACCTCTCCTGTCACTATCTTTCAAGCTCATCCCATACTCCTCCACCCTGGCGATGGCCCTGATAAGCTTGAGTTCATCAAGGTCCTTGCTAACCTTTGGTGCCCAATCTGAGAGACAGGCACTTAGACTGCTATGAATGGGAGTATATGCCAGCACAACTTCTTTGGAGAGAACAATTTGGTGATATCAAAAATGTAGATTCAGGGCTGATGGAATGGCTCAAGCAGTAAGAGTGCCTGCCTAGCAAGCATGAGACCCTAAGTTCAAACCCCAGAACCACCAAAAAAATTAAATCCAGAGTACCCAGAAGCAGAAAGTCTTCAAAAGCCACATGCCTGTAGTCCCATCACTCGGGAGACTGAGGCAGGAGAATTGCAAGTTCAAGGCCAGTCTGGGTGACAAGTGAGACTTATCTCAAAAAAGAAAAAGAAAAAAAAAATGTTGCAGGACAACTGGAAATTCACTAGAATTTTCAATAGAAAAGATTGATGTAGGACCCCTCTCTCACACCATACATCATAAGCCCACCTTATTCATGGATTTATTACACATGTGGTTTTGACTAAGTGCAGTAAAAAAATCATAATAAAAAGTCAAAAAGAGGACTAGAGGCATGGCTCAAGGCCTAGCAAGTGCAAGGCCCTGAGTTCAAACCATAGTACTGCCAAAAAAAAAACCAAAAAACAGCTGAGTACCTGTGGCTCATGCCTGTCAACCTAGCTATTTGGAAAGCTGAGATCAGGAGAATGGCACTTCCAGGTCAGTCCGGAGAAAGAAGTTTGTGAGACCCCATCTCAATGGATAAAAGCTGGGTGTGGTGGCATACCTGTCATCCCAGCTAAGGCAGGGAAGCATATAATAGACTGGCCTGGTAGCCTGGGCAAAAAAGCAAGACCATATCTCCAAAGTCACCAGAGCAAAAAGGACTGGAGGGAGCCAGTGTCTGTCCTTTACAACTGTAATCCTAGCTACTTAGGAGGCTGAGATTGGGAGGCTAATGGTTCAAGGCCAGCTGGGCAAAGGGTTTGAGACACCCCATCTCCAAAATAACCAGAGCAAAATGGACTGGAGGTCTGGCTCAAATGATAAAGTGCCTGCTTTGCAAGCATGAAGCCTTGAGTTTAAGGCCCAGTACTGCAAAGTCAATCAATCAATCAAAAGAAATTTCAAAAAATGTAAATTTCCACATGCCCATTAGGCAGCTCAGTTGATGTGGAGAAGCTCTAGGTCAGCCCCTCATTATCATCAGTTCTGCTTAAATTCTGCATCCACAAAAGCAAATGGTGCCCAAAAGTGAAATAAAAGTTATGATAATCCTCCAAAGCCAAAAAGGGCATGTAATGTGCTTAATTTAAATGATAAAGTGAAATTGTAGATTTGTTGGAAGGTGGCATGTCTTTAGCAGAAGTTGGCTGGTGTTATGGAAAAATGAATCAAGCTTCCACAGTACAGCACTGAACTCTATGCATCCTGAGCTTTCCTGCTTTTCCTCCATCTCCGTGGGAGCCATAGTCCCACAGATACCAAAATTTGCTCAAAATGGATTACAGAGCTAAAAGTAAGAACTAAAACTAGAATTTTGTGTGTGTGTGTGTGTGTGGTACTGGGGCTTGAACTCAGGGCCTTCACCTTGAGCCACTCAGCCAGCCCTTTTTGTGATGGGCATTTTCAAGACAGGGTATCCCAAACTATTTGCCCAGGCTGGCTTTGAACCACAATCCTCTCCATCTCTGTCTCCTGAGTAGCTAGGATTACAGGTGTGAGCCATCGGTGCCTGGCCTAGAAAATTTTTAGAAGAAAACATAGGCATAAATTTTTCTGACTTTGGAGGCTGGAATGTTGTCACCCACCTGTAATCCCAGCACTCAAGAGGCTAAAGAGGAGAATTAAGAGTTTGAGGATGGGCCAGTGCCGGTGGCTCACGCCTATAATCCTAAATACTCAGGAGGCAGAGATCGGGAAGATCGTGGTTCAAAGCCAGTCCAGGCAAATAGTTCGTGAGACCCTATCTCGAAAATGCCCATCACAAAAAGGGCTGGCGGAATGGTTCAAGGTGAAGGCCCTGAGTTCAAACCTCAGCACTGCCAAAAAAAAAAAGAGCTTAAGGATGTGCTGACAGAGTAGCGAAAGTGGTACAGCACCTGCCTAGCAAGTATGAGACCCTGAGTTCAAATCCCAGTGCCACCAAAAAAGTAATAATAATAATAAAATAAAATTATATTTGTATATATAAAAGTTTGAGGATGGCATGGGCCATATAGAGACCCTGTCTCAAAATAAAAATGACAACAAATCCTGATTGTGGGTTAGGCACTGGTGTCCAAGGACATTAAAAACACAAGTGACAAAAGAAAAAGTAGATAAATTGTTCTCATCAACATTAAAAACTGGTGCTACCCAGGACACCTTCAAGATAATGAAAAGATCACTCAGAGTTGGAAAGAGTATTGCAAATTATCTGTCAAAGGACTTATATTCAGAATATAAAGATGTCTGGTAATTCAACAATAAAAAGGCAACCAATTAGGATTTGAACAGATATTTGTCCAAAGAAGATAGGCAAATGGCCAATAAATATATGAAAGTATGCCCAACATCAGTAAGCCATCAGGGAACTGCAAATCAAAATTACCATGAGCCACCACCAGTGGCTCTCACTTATAATCCTAGCTACTTGATTGGGAGGATCGTGATTTGAGGTCAGCCCAGGCAAACTGTTCACAAGACCCCATCTCCAAAAAAACCAGAGAAAAATGGACTGGAGGGGTGACTCAACAAGTAGAGTACTTGTTTTGCAAGCACAAAGCCCTGAGTTCAAACTCCACAAAATTCATCAAACCATAACAAAGTATCTTATAACATTTGGATGCATTTTTTAAATCACATTTGTAAAAAACAAAAAGAAAAAGAAAGGAAAAAAAAGAAAAAGAAAAAAATGACATTTGTAAGGAGAATCACACCACGCATTTTCTTTTGTAACCTGCTTTTTCCATTTAACTCTGTAAACATTTCCCCACACTAAATGGGATATAACATAATGTACTCAATCCATCCACTGTAAAATAACCATCTAGGTTTGGGTTTGTTTTTCTTTTCTTTTCTTTTCTTTGAGTTCTTTGTATGAAACTGAGCCTAAGGTTTTTATTTGTTTACTTTGTTGGGTTTGGTTTTTTGAAACACCATCCAGACTTTTTTTTTTGGTGGTACTGGGGCTTGTACTCAGGGC